GAGAAGCTCAGCGGCGTACAGGATGGAGAGGATGGGCGATACCGGTGAGCCTTGGGGGATCCCATTCTCCACCGGTCTCATCTCCCCTCGTATCCCGTCTAGGCATATTGCTGCCTCTCGCTCCGAGAGGAAGGCTGCCGTCCATCGGACGAGTTGGAGCGGGAGGCGTTTTTCGCGCATGACGTTGAGGAGTCGGCGGTGGTTCACAAAGTCGAAGAAGCCTTTGATATTGAAGGTGAGCGCTGATGTGACTTTCCCGTGGTTGTGGGCTGCTTCGACGTCGTGGACAAAAGTGAGGATGGCGTCGTCTGTGGAGCTGGCAGGGCGTCCTCCGAACTGGTTTGCCGGGACGAGGTTGTGCGTCGATACCAGGTAGGCGAGGCGGTTGGCGACGATCCGTTCCAGGGTCTTCCCGAGGCACTCCAGCAGTTGGATGAGCCGGTAGGCCCTGGGGTTGCTGTAGTCTGGCTTGCCCGGCTTGGGGATGGCGACCGCAATCGCCTTCCTCCATGCCTTGGGGTGGTAGCCTGCGCGTAGACAGTGGTTCATCAGCGTGGTTATGGTGGTGTCTGCCTCCGCCCACGCCCATCGTATGACACGAAACTGGCATTGGGAGAGCCCCGGGGCCTTGTCTGCCCCCTGCTCGAATATGGAGCGCCTCACCTCGTCCTTCGTGACGTCTTCGTCAGCGAAGTCCTCTGGGTGAGGGTCCTTGAGGTCGTTCTCCGGGACTCCTTGCAGTGGTGGTGGTGGCTGGAATAGCTCGTCCCGCAGCGCGTTGCACTTGTCTTCGTGCATGACGGCTGGTGGTCGGTCGGCGCCTCGCGAGATGGCTGGCGATTGGTACGATCGTACCCCTTTGCCCCATTTCGTGAAGCCCCAGATGTCGGCTGTGGTCGCGGTCTCGAGGGTCTCCGTGATCCACTTCTGGCGTGCCTTCTTGTAAAGCCGCTTGAAGTAGTTCCGGGACTTCTTGATCTGGGCGTTTGTCGTACTCGCCTGCGTGCCCCACCTTTTCAGGTGGTTCAGGCTCTGCGTGCGTAGGTCCGCGATCTTCTTCGCTGCGTCGTGGAGGTCCGCGTTCCACCACGGTCGTGCGCGGTCACTTGGCTTCTTGACCTTTGCCGCTGTTGTGTTGGCGGTTTGCATCGCCGCCGTCAGCGCGTCAGCGGCTCGGTCTAGCTGGTCGTCGGAGAGTGTCGCGTTAGGCTCGGATAGGGGGGCGAGGTCTAGGTCGTGTTCCCCCAGTGCTGCTCGGAAGGCTTCGCGCCACTCTGCTGGGTCCGTGTCTTTGAAGTTGTAGCGTTCCCCGGTGAGGTTGTCAATCTCGACGGCGCCGTTGTCGATCTCCCATCGCAGGGCGAAGTGGTCGGATCCGAACGCGTATTCTCTGTCGATCCACCAGTGTTTAGCTGTGTCGAGCTCGGTGGCTTTGGGGTTGGTGAAGGTGAGGTCGATCGTGGACCATGTTTCGTGTGCGTGCGAGAAGAACGTGGGCGCGCCCTTCTCGTTCTTCATCGTGTACCCGTGCTGTGTCAGCCAGTCCACGGTCTGGTCTGTCGAGTCCTTCGCTGGGTCCGACGTGCGCGACCAGAGGGGGTGGTGCAGGTTCCAGTCGCCCGACAAGATGGTCGGGGCGTCTCTGGGGAGTGCGAGGCTCTGGAGTCGCTTCGCAGCTGACCTGGTGCCCTGCTTGCGGTCGTCGTTGTAGAGGTTGACGATGATCGTGGGGGGGTAGGGCGCCTGTGCTACCTCTAGGACTTGGATGTCGAGGTCGCTTGCGATGTCGGAACGGAGGGTGACTGTGAAGTCTCCCCGTCGGCGCGTGTACGCCATTACTCTCGGTCGCTTATCCTGGGGGACTGCTGAGACGGGTAGTATCGGCGTCCAACCTGCTCCCGCCTCAGAGACCGGCCCTTGGGTGTCGTTGCCAATATTTCCCCACCATGGTTCCGTGATGAGGACGATGTCGGCGGTGTCGTCTGAGGTCGCGGTGTTGAGCAGGGCGTGTAGCACTGCGTTCTGTCGGTTGGCGTTGAGCTGTAGGATCCGGACCGGCCGTGTGGTCGTGTCCTTCATAGTCCAACCTCGTGGTCGCTTTCATTGTCGGGGATCCGGCCGGGGCAGAGTTCGCGTTCGATGAACGCTACCGTTGCTGCGAAGTCGTCAACCATCGTCGCGTAGGATGAGCATATGTTAGCCTCATCTAGGTCTGGGAAGCGCTTTTGGAGCGCTTCCAGGTCTCCCTTCTTTCGTTCTTCGTCCAGAGCCTCCAGCGCAGCGAACTTGTTCTCGCTCTCTGCTGCTTTTCGCTGCGCTTGGCTGGGCTGGGCCCGTTTTGCTGCGTTCTTTGTTGGTCGGGCCTCCTTCCACTCTGATGTCGCCTTAGCGCCTCCCTTTGGGCGCGGTGTTGCTTTTGTGATGCCGCGGGCCTGGTCTCGGGATGCGCAGTGTCGCCAGTTCGCCGTGTGGGCGCCAGAGCAGTTGGCGCATTCGTACTGCTCATGGTTGCAGTCTTCCATGCTGGTGTCGTCGTCGTCCGGTCGTTCTTCGTGGCACTCCTTGCAGGTGTGGTCTCCTTCAGTGTGCGTGGTGTCCCCGCAGATGCGGCACTTCTCCTTCCTGTTGCATCGTGACTTGGTGTGGCCGAATAGCCAGCACCGGCTACACTGCATGACGGGTGGTTTATCAGCGTACCGTCTCACCTCTGCGAACTGCCCTGCAATCGCGAGGTTCTTGACTCTGTTCACCAGGTGGTCGGCATCCTCTTGGGACTTGAGGGCGATCACCACTGACGAGTACGTCAGGTTGATGAGGTCGCCCCTGTGTCGCATCCACCGAGGTAAGTCGGCGGTCTCCATCTTCTCGTAGTCCGGGTTCAGGCTGCGTAGGTCGCGGTCGATCTCTTGTGGTGTTGCAATGTCGCGGGTGTTGTCGTTGAACGTCCGTACCCCGTTGAGCTGGATCTTGAACCACTTCTCGTCGGGTCGGATGCGCGTCTCGCGCGTGCCAGCGAAGAAATCTACAAACCTCGGAGCATGCAGTGCAAGCTCTCCCGCTGACTGATCAGCGCGCGTGAAGACAATGCAGTTATTGTGGGCGTTGAACTTAACGTTCACGACCCGTAAGTGTCTGCTCTCGTCGCTGGCCTGCAGTATCTCGTTGATGTACTTTACAATCTCCACCTCGCTTGGCCGATCCTTTGCTGACGGTCCGTCCTTGATCTCGATGATGAGTCGAGACGGGTGGTGTGCCGCCAGCGGGTTGAGGACTGGCTTGGGCGTGCGGGGTGTCGGGACGATCGGTTTCGCGGTTGCGACCACCGTCCGTACGGTTGCTCTGTTGGTAGTGGTGGTGTCGGCGGCGGTGGTCTTCTTTTTGTTCCTGCTGGTACGCGCCGTAGCTGTTGTCCGGATTGTTGCCGAGTCGTCCGACGTGGTCCAGTCCTGTGTTGTCGTGGTCGGTGCGTCCTTCGCCTCGATGTGGTCGAGTCTGGTCGCGAGTCTGTCGATCGCCTTGGCGATGTTCTCGAGGATGGTGGTGTCGGCACTGGCAGGGGGCGGCGAGGTCGTCGGTTTGGGGGCTGTCACTGGCTGTGGCTCTTCCCATGACGTCAGTCTGCTCGCGATGGTCTGCGCGTCTTTCGTAACGGATGCGGGGTACTCAGCGTGCATGGAGATCTCCTTGAGGATCCCCGTTGCCCTGCTCAGTGCCTCCTCCAATAGGATCATCTTCCTTTGGATGTGGTCCGGGCTGAAGAGGTCCGAGGCGGCGTTGCCTAGCATCAGGCTGTCGTTGGTCTGGTGGCCGGTTCGTGTCGGTGTTGGTGACTCTACTTGTATACTCTCATCGTCCTTATCCTCTTCCTGCTGCGTCCGTTCTATGCCGTCCATAGGCGCAGCCGGTTTGGGTGGTCTACTTAAGGAGTTCGTTAGTCTGTCGAGTACTTTACGTCCTCGACTCGGGGTCGCTGGTATAGGCGCCGGGGTCGTCTCCTTCCCCCGCGGTTTCCCATCGACCTGGTGGCCTTGGCCTTTTGGTTCAGCCTCCTGCTTTCGTAGTGGGTACGGCTGATGCCTATGGTCCCCTCCGACCCCCTCTTGGGTCTCTGAAGCTTTGGTCATACGCTATTTTTCTCTAGATTCCACCCGTGGGAATTTTCGAGACAGATGTGGTAGCGGTATGAGGAGAGTTTCCTAGTGCTGAATGTGGGAAGTAATGCTTGTCGCCTCACCAGTAGTTCCAGCTGTGGGGTTATGGCATCGTTGTAACAATAATGACACAACTATCATGTGAAAACCTCGTACAGCTTCTGCACCCGTCGAGCACATATCGAAGACTCACGCTACCCGTGGTAACATCGAACTGAGCACCGACACCACCATGCCGGTGCCGCAAGCTGAGACGATTGACCAAGACGGCAGATATCACATACGGCGCGTGCCACGGCACGAGGACCAAATTGATACTCACCGCCAAAAACATGTGTTGGAGCATACAATCTGTACGTCCGCCCGGCTCCGGCTTTACTATACCATTTCGACTTCTTTTATCACGGACTCTTACGGTACCGCCATCCCGCCGTCCCGCCGTTCTTCTGTTGACCCGCCATCGCGTTATCATCTGACTTACCATTTACGGTATTACTCTCGTTCCTGTCCCTGTCCCGTCTGCCAGATATACCGCGCTGCTTTCGTTCGGTCACCCTCAGTCTTGCTCTACGAGCGTGCACTGAGGGTGAGTACATGTTTATTTTCCGTGCCCGCATACCATAGCTCACATACACGTTAGCCTGTGATCGTCGCTACTAGGTATGCTATAATACATTAGTCTTGCTCTACGAGCGTGCACTGAGGCCTGTGATCGTCGCTACTAGCCGACCACCCGCACGCTCGCGCTGCTGCGTGTTTCATTAGGTTATGAGCCCTGCGCTGTAGCCTACAAGACTCACCAATCGCCCGCATCGCCTATCACTTGCCGTCTAGCCCAACGCCGCCGCTATGACAACCTCGCTCGCCGATTTCAGCTCGGCCTTCGAGAAGCTCGATTCGACTGGGAAGAACTGGTTGACCTTCCAGCAACGTTTTGAGATCGCAGTCCGCCAGAAGAAGGTCTGGGGACACTTTGATGGGACGTTGACCGTTCCAACGCCCGCCGCTGCGACCGCGCCTACGCAGGCCGAACAAGCTGCGATCGATGCCTGGCAAGAGAAGGAAGATTTAGCTCGGTATCTCCTAACGCAGAAACTTCCCGATATCACCTTCACAAAACATCGCCGCAAGGGAACTGCAGCTGCCATCTGGGCAGCCATCGTCCAGGAGTTCTCCCAGAAGTCGATGATCCTTCGCGCACGCTACCGGACCGAGTTCCTCAATATGCGAGCCACGCCGGGCGCGAACCTCCACTCCGAGCTCGACCGTCTCCGTGTGAAGTACGAGGAACTGTTGAACATGGACATCGCAGTCGCCGCCGCCGAGTATGCATCCCTCGTGATCAACTTCTTACCCGAGGAGTTGGCGAGTTTCGTCTCGCAGATCTCGGCCACTGCGAAGCTGGCGCGTCGTTTCCAGAGCATGAACATCGCGCCGCTGATGGCGGATGTGGACGCAGCTACCGAGGAGGCCCCTGTTCTGGATGCGGATGCCTTGATGGAGATAGCGCTGGAGGAATGGGACCGTCGCCATGCGTCGAAGGCGAAGGTGGCGAAGGCGAAGGACACAGGAGTTGCGGCAAGTGTCATCTCGACAGAGAAGCCGAAAGGGCGAGGACGTCGTGGACCGCAGAGACCAGTTGGAGTGTGCTGGAACTGTGGAGGGAAGGGCCACCGTCAGGACCAGTGCCCAAGCCCGAAGCAGAACGAGGATGGCAAGGCGAAGGATGGAGCTCAGGCTGCCGCGTCAAAGAACGATGCTAAGTCGCAGACCAACACATCGAAGTCGAAGTTGGGCGGCGCAAATGTTGCCACGCCCGCTGCCAACACCGCTGCTTCGCTCGATGAGATCGCCGGCGCCTGGACCGTCTTTGCAGCTCCTGTCGACTACTCCTCGGAGGACGACTCACCTCCCGATCTATTCGAGGACACGCGCTCCGACATCACCGCACTTACGGAAGTATCCGACACGAACTCTGGTTCGATGCCGTCGCTCCAGACGGTGTCGACCTCGTCTGACTCTGGTGACGAAGACCTACCTGCGTCTACGCAAGTCCCTGCTCCCTTTGCTGACCGTGTCACTGCTGTCGAAAACTGGGTCGACGATCTTCTCGTGAGCACCGATGCCGAGCCGGAAGGAGTCACTGTTGCGACATGGATGCGCGCTGTGGAGGAGGAGGAAGCTCGTCTGCGAGAGCTGTGGTCTCTGGAGGATCAGGTTGACGAACCTGGTGATACCAACACTGTGTACAGTACCGCTGCTCCCGCTGCCTCCGCCGTTGCGCTCGTCGCGACCGAATCGAACCGTGTTGACTTGTATGATTCCGGTGCGAGCGATCATATGTCGCCCTATCGCGACGCCTTCCTTACCTTTCGCGAGACTGTGCCTCGCTCGCTGAACGCCGCGAACCAGCAGATGTTTCAGGCCACTGGGGTCGGAGACATGGTTGTGACACATTCATGAGCGGACCATACCCATTCCTAACGGTACACCCGGGCTGCATATTCCCCATTGTCAACGGAAACCCGACGCCGGCCGGAGAAATGTGTCCGGAGGTTGCAAACCCACCGGCCGGCACCTGAGGTGCCCATTGTTAGCAGACTGGCCGGTCTTGTTTTGAACGGACCGGCCGATGGCAGGGAAAATCAACAAGTGTTACTGAACAATGGTCCGGAATTTAATCTATGGTTGTAAATGGACCGGCCGGAGAGTGGCAACCACATTTATAACACTCCAGCAGGATTTCATCCCTGTGTTTGGAAATAGTCCGGCCGGAATGCATCCCTATGGTTTCAAATGGTCCGGCCGAAGGTCATATACCTTTGTTTATGATGTACCGGCCGAAGGTAATATATCTAAATTAATAACACACCGGCCAGAGGTGATATACCTACATTGAGAAAGAACCGGCCGGTCATAATGTACCCACGCACAAAACAAACCGGCCGGCCATGACATAGTTTCACTACACATTGACCGGCCAGGCATAGCATGCCTATATCAGAAATGAACCGGCCGGTCATATGGAGCCTGAATATCAATTGCTCCCACCATCCTGGAAACATATTCATTGATGCACTGAGTTTTCTGGACCATAAATGCACTGGACCCAGGTTTTTTGGGCTTTGAATACATTTTTAGCATCCCCATAGATGCTCCCAATTTTCCAGGCACATGCAAACCATTCCAGAGCTTTAGAATCATCAAAATTGAGTTTTCTGGGCTGAAAATAGACCAAAACCAGCCTTTCTGGGCTGGAAATGCATCAGAACACATTTATTGAGCCTCCCAATCCACATTTACAACAGCTCTGAGCCTTATACACCAGGTCCGAGTATTTTACACAATTGCCGAGATTCCACAAAGTCCCGGCGCCGAGGATGCACCAAGTCCCGGCGCCGGGGGTGCACCAAGTTGCGGCGCCGCAAGTGCTCCAAGTTGCGGCGCCGCAGGTGCACCAAGCCTCGGCGCCGCACCGTCTCGTTAAGCGCCGAGAAACATCGCTCGGCGCCGAGACTTGGTGCACCTGCGGCGCCGCAACTTGGTGCACCTGCGGCGCCGCAACTTGGTACTACCTCGGCGCCGAGTTGTGCTAAACCTGAGGAATAATGGAGTTTCTAACAATGATCACAAAAAGATTACTGATGTTTGTTACACCAATGACCTTTTGTAGCTCATCTTATAGGGAATGTTAGGTTCATTAGGAAATCTCCTAATGACACTACAAAGGTTTGTATGTGGTTACTTATAAAAAGTGATGTTTGTGTCTCATTGTGTAGGGAATGGTCTGTTGATAAGTAAATCTTCTATTGACACTTCAAGGATTTCCAATGGTCAGGCCGGTACAGCTGCTTTTCTTGTCTGGCTGGTAAGTAAACTTACTGATGACACTACAGTATATTGTATTCAATTTGTACATTTGTAGCTCATCTTATAGGAAATGTTAGGTTCATTAGTAAATCTTCTAATGTCATTACAAGGGTTTGTATGTGGTTACTTATAAAAAGTGAGGTTTATATTTCATTGTGTAGGGAATGGTCTATTGATAAGTAAATCTTCTATTGACACTTCAAGGATTTTCAATGCTTAGGCCAGTACAGCAGCTTTTCTTGTTCAGCCAGTAAGTAAGCTTATTGATAGCACTACACATATTTGTATCTCATCTTGTGGGGAACATTAGGTTGATAAGCAACTATTATGATGAGACTACAAGGATGTGTACATCTCATGCTGTTGTTATTGTACAGTAGACAGAACACTACATTACAAATGTGTAGTACTATGACAACTTCTGGCTGATCTAGCGCCCACACTAAAGTTGGTAGCACTTACAGCTTGGAAGATTAAGCTATGAGATTTGGCATATGTGCTGCTGGCTGTATGAACATACATTATAGCCACTAACCTAATGTGGGCAAAGAATACTGCCATGGTGAGGAGAGTAAGAAGGGAGCAGGGACATGCACAATTAGTGATATGTCTCTGAAGTGATAAGTTGTTGCCTTTATGTACAACTTTTGTGCCAACATGTGTCCAGATGAACAAGTACATTCATCAAGTCATGTATGGATGGGTTGCTGATACATGTTTCATTTATCCTCATACATTCTGCTATGATCATGATGGCCACACCCTACATATATATCTGTATGTAGAAACCAATCCCAGATGAATATGAGACATTCTATAGAATTAACACATGTGGTCCTAGGTACATTGCTCTGCTACAGCCTACATTTGGAACTCACTGACTTTTCTGTAAATGCTAGACAGTTCAACCTTGATGCAGGGTTGTAACTATGATGTATTCTTTTGTGATAATCAACCTCTTGTTCCTACAGTGTTCCTTTGTCTTAATTTCATTATCTACTAATTAAATACAACACACTGTAGTGTCATTAGTGAGTTTACTTACCAGCCGGAACAGGAAAAGCAGCTGTACCGGCCTAACCGTTGAGAATCCTTGAAGTGTCAATAGAAGATTTACTTATCAACAGACCATTCCCTACACAATGAGACACAAACATCACTTTTTATAAGTAACCACATACAAACCTTTGTAGTGTCATTAGGAGATTTCCTAATGAACCTAACATTCCCTATAAGATGAGCTACAAAAGGTCATTGGTGTAACAAACATCAGTAATCTTTTTGTGATCATTGTTAGAAACTCCATTATTCCTCAGGTTTAGCACAACTCGGCGCCGAGGTAGTACCAAGTTGCGGCGCCGCAGGTGCACCAAGTTGCGGCGCCGCAGGTGCACCAAGTTGCGGCGCCGCAGGTGCACCAAGTCTCGGCGCCGAGCGATGTTTCTCGGCGCTTAACGAGACGGTGCGGCGCCGAGGCTTGGTGCACCTGCGGCGCCGCAACTTGGAGCACTTGCGGCGCCGCAACTTGGTGCACCCCCGGCGCCGGGACTTTGTGGAATCTCGGCGATTGTGCAAAATACTCGGACTTGGTGTATAAGGCTCAGACCTGTTGTAAATATGATTTAGGGAGCTAAACACATGTGCAAGAATAGCCTTTGAAGCAATTCCAGCCTGGAAAACCTGGATCTGGTCTGTTTCCAGGCTAGAAAAGCTCATTTATGGTGCTTTTGAAGCATGGGCATGGTTTGTATGTACCTGATAAAATTGGGAGCATGTAAGGGAATGCTTGTCAATGTATTCCAAGCCCAAAAAACCTAGGTCCAGTGTGTTGATGGTCCAGAAACCTCAGTGCATCTTTGACAATGTGTTCTGGGATGTTTGGCACAATTATCATTCAGATTCCATATGACCGGCCGGTTCATTTCTAATGTAGGTTTGTTATGACTGTCCGGCCCATGTGTAGTGTAAGTATGTCATGCCTGGCCGGTCTGTTTTTGGTGTAGGTAGACTATGACCGGCCGGTCCTTTTGCAATGCAGGTATATGACCTCCGGCCGGTATGTTATAAATGTAGGTACATGAACTCCGGCCGGTGCATTCTAAGTCAAGTATATGAGCTCTGGGTGGTGCATTGATAATGTGAATGTATGAGCTCCGGCCGGTGCATCAATGATGTGGGTATATGAGCTCCGGCCGGTCTGTTATTAATGTGGGTATATGAGTCCCGGCCGGTCTGTTATAAATGTAGGTGCCTGATCTCTGGCCGGTCCATTTACAACCATAGATTAAATTCCGGACCATTGTTCAGTAACACTTGTTGATTTGCCCTATTGCCGGCCGGTCCGTTCAAAACAAGACCGGCCAGTCTGCTAACAATGGGCACCTCAGGTGCCGGCCGGTGGGTTTGCAACCTCCGGACACATTTCTCCGGCCGGCGTCGGGTTTCCGTTGACAACGGGGAATATGCAGCCCGGGTGTACCGTTAGGAACGTAAAAGTACACTCATTGGGCTCGTTGTGAACATACCGAATGGTTCTGCCCGCACGCAGATCCGCCTTACTCGGGTCCTCTATACGCCCGCGCTGGGATTCAACCTCATCTCCATTGGCCGCATCGACGATGCAGGTTACTCGACAACTTTCGCAGGAGGGAAGTGTGTCATTGCTGACCACGACGGGCAAACAATCGGCACGATTGCGAAGACACGTGGTCTGTACCTTGTTACGCAGACACACACCATCCACGGATCCGCCAACGCTGCTGCTAAGGCCGAGAAGCTCACCCTTATGGACCTCCACCGCCGCCTAGGTCACATCGTGCCGCGCGCGATACGGGAGCTCGTCTCAAAGGGCCGGATCGCCGGCGTAATCTTGGTGCCTGCCGATGAAGTCGAGACCTGTGAGGCATGCATACGCGCGAAGTCGACGCGCAAGCCGGTCCCGACTGAGCGCGAAGGAGATCGCGCTGAGGAGCTCGGCGAAGAGATCCATTCTGATCTATGGGGTGCTGCGCGAGTCATTACCCTAGGAGGACGCAAATACTATGTCAGCTTCACAGACGACGCCACCCGCTGGACCTTGCTGTACCTCCTACGCCTGAAGAGCGAGGTTTTCGAGGCTTTCAAGGCTTTCGAGGCGTGGTTGGAAGTCCACCATGGCAAGCGCATCGGCGCGTTGAACACCGATCGCGGTGGCGAGTACCTCAGCGAAGCCTTTAAGGCCCACCTCAACGAACGCGGCATCGTTGCGAAGCTTTCCGTGCACGACACGCACAAGGAAGCAGGCGTGTCGGAACGCCTCAACCGCACGCTGATGGAAAAAGTCCGCGCGATGTTAATCACGTCTGGACTGCCGACGTTCCTGTGGCATCAGGTTTTCGTGCAATTCCTCTGACAGGCCCTGTCAGGGGCTTCATAAGCGCTCAGAACGCTTCAGATCGCATCAGAACGGTTCATTTGGCCAGTCCTCAAGGTGTCGAATTTTCGCAAATTGTTGTTGTCAGATAGAATTCTCAGACATCTTCAGAAAGTCTCAGAGTGGTCCAGAGTGGTCAGACAATGTGTCAGACTCTCAGTGACCTCAGATGTCATATGCTCAACAACAATATATTTCCGTCACTGTAGACAGCTCTAATGGCATACTACTGTATATACATGGGGAGTACACAAGAGAACGAACCAACAAACACGTAACAGCACTCCACGGCAACACTCACACTAAGCTCGCGCCCGCTGCTACCCGGTGGGCCCATGCACATCAAGACTCTGTTTGTCGAGCACATAAGCTTAGACCTTGCTCGACGCGTGCGGGTCGTCCGCCGTGCTCGCGCGTGAGCTCATCGGGCTGGTGCGCCGGTGCTTGGCGGCCTGGCTTCTCGAGCTAGAGGCGCGCTCATCTTCGGCGGCGGGCCTATAAGGATTTGGCTGAGGGTCCGTTGGGTGCGAGATCTTGTGCTTCTGGCCTGAAGAACTCGTGCTGGACCTCGGTTCGTTGGAACTAATTGAAGAGCGTGACGCCTTGTCGGACGTCACGCGGTTAAACCAATTCGTCGGCCTCGAGAGGAACTGCGTGAGCCCATTCAAGGGCAAGACAGAACATGGCAATGTTCCCGGAGACGCGGAACCCGTGCCAGGGAAGACGATCTCAGGCGGGCTGAGGGAGTTGGAGGATGTGCCGCGGGGCCACGACGGGTCGTCACAAGAAAGAGTGTCGTAGCAAAACGAGGGTAATTGATTAAAATGCTCAAGCCCCGGTAAGGTATACGTCCTGTGATTGATATTAGTGGATGGGGTTGTGGGCGCTGCGCAGCGATGTCGTGTACGCACCTGACGCATAGGGTTTTACAGCCATACCCCAGGTCTTGTACGACGAGTAGACAGTAGGTAGAGAGGCGAGATGAACGAATCCGTCGACGTCGACGTTAGGGGGAGACCTGCGCGCGCTGGCATTCGTTCAACTGCACTTGCCAGGCAAGGTCGCAAGACGACAAGAGCTGTACTCACCTGATCACTCTGCCTTCTACCCACGTCTTTCCCTTCCTGCGCGACCATCCTTCACCCCCCTCCCCCGTTGGAGTTGCGCGTCGCTTGGAGCCCGTTGCGGCTGCTGGGCCACGCAATCGTGGGGCGCGTGGCCGGTTGATTCACGTGCCGACGTCTCTTGCGGACGGACCTGCACGTGTATTATCGAGGTAGGTAGAAGTGAAGCGAAGGTGGCGATGGGGGTGCCGAGGCCGAAGGTGGAGGTGTGGCGAAGTGCAGCGAGAGGATGGTAGCAAGCGCGCGTCACTGACGTGTCGCAGTGGCTGAGGCGCTTAGCACTTCAGCTGCGCCTGCGAGTCGTGCTCTCCTCCTCCACATCGACATTCACGTACCCAAGCACCTTCCCGCTCGCTCGCGCGGACATCCACCCGTCATCTGGTCACCCACCCTGCCATTGACTGACCCGCGTATTCGACCTATCCTGCACTGCTTGGGCCCTCGCCGGCACGACCCTCCGACGTGGCAGAGCTCTGCTGCTCGACCTCGACTTGCACCGGACGTTCCGCCCGCGCGTGGATGAGCCCGCACGGACGTCTTCGTCGACCGCCTCCTCAGCCTATGTTACACCTTATAACCCTGACATACCATGACGACGGACGACTGGCGCGCGCGGCTCCGGACGTACGGATGCGGATAGAGAGCGAGCACGGGAGGGGGTTGGGATGGTGCGGACGTGAGGAAGCGCGAGACGAGGTGCGTATACCTCTACAATGCTGACATTATTACTGTTTACGTCCCACCCTCCGCCCTCCCGCCGACTCAACAGTCACAGCCGCAGCCTTTGACGAGTCCACGCACAGACGTGTCCGTTGACGCACTCAACGCGCCCCGCTGGGCAGTCTAATGCGCCGATCTCGCCATCGTGTTGGCTGGGGCCCGAGTGCAAGATTTCTGGGTAAGTCAATGCCCATTATTCGGTCTGCGCTGATCCTCACACTCGTAGCGCGACCTCGAACGCGCTCTCCACGCTAGCCCCGGTTGCACACCAGACGAGTGCCGCGCCGCGGGAGACTCTGTCTCGCAGACCCTCCACCATAGCGGCCGGCTACTCCCTCTGCGGTGACGGATCCGTCGGCGCACAGCGCAGTCGAGGACGCTCGCTTGGATCTGCCGGTCAACGCTCCCGCTGATGCCTGTTGCGTCGGCCTCCGCCTTCCGTTGAGAGCCTGAGGTGGCTACCCTCAAAGCCACCGCGACTGCGGCGTCCCGCGCACCGGACTTGTGATTCTGTGGGTGAGTATACCCAGCGGCACACACCGCAATTGTAACGTCTCCCTTCGCCCTCATGTCCTCTCCATCGCACTCGTGCTTTCTTCTTCTCCCTTGCGCTCTCCCTTCGTCGCCACTGCTCTCTCTTTGCCACCACCGCTCTCTCTTTGCCGCCACCACTCTCTCTTCGCCACCGCTGCTCTCTATTTGCCGCCACTCCGGGTCGGCCACATTGACTGTTCCGGTCACACTGATTGTAGGTGACACTGACTCTGCTCTGCTCTCCCCACCCTGACGTTGTCATCCAGACATCAAGAACATGATCTGGCATTGCCCCTCGACACCGCGCTGACGATGTGTAGCCCCTCCTCGCGATCGAACACCTCGTCGCCCACGCCCAACTCGCGCATCACGCCGTTCCCCGCGATGCAGTCCACCCACGCGTCCATCGTGCCACATCCCCATGCAGATGCGCTCCCGGACGCGTGTCTCCTCGCGGCGTAAAGCGGCGAGCTGTGCGTTCTGCACAGCGCGGTCGTGCTGCCGCCGGTGCGTCGTGTTCACGTGCCCGAGGCCTGTGCTGACGACTACGAGGACCTGTTTGAGTTGGTCGGTGAACACCTGCTTACATGCTGCGCTCCAATACGCAGATGTATATGTATTACAATCATTGTAGTAGACTTGATATCCATTGCATTTATGCCAAATTACGTGCAGGGGTTGTTTGTTGACGAAATGTGTGATATGTGCCGTCTGATGTACTGTGTTACTGACACTGTCTGACACCATCTGAGGCAAAATGAGAACATCTGACAACATGTGTTGTCTGGAGTGCCCTGATGCTCTGATGCTCTCTGAGAGCCGACCTTCAGATGTACATACCGTCAGAAAATGCACAGTTTCCTGATGCGGGGTGAAGCGGTCATGCACGCGGTCTGGCTGAAGAACCGCACCTCGACGAAAGCTCTCGACGGACGCACCCCATATGAAGCCTTGCACGGGCGTCCACCTGTGCTTACAGGCCTACCAGTCTGGGGAAGTCGTGTGTGGGTGCATGATACGTCCACCGGGAAGGTTGGCGAACGTGCCAAGCCGGCAAACTGGGTCGGGTATGACGCGCAGAGCAAGGGCCACCGGGTCTACTGGCCAGATGCGCGCCGGATAACCGTCGAGCGCAACGTGCGTTTTGTGGAGGACCAGCTTCCACCTGCCGAGGACGACGCTGAGCTTGAGGGGGAGGATGTGCCAGATGACAAGCTCGAGTCGACCGTTGACAAGCTCGAGGAGTCAGCGTCTGACGGTGCTAGTGAGCACGAGGACGTACCTGATGAACCGCACACGCCGCCCATGCCGCCGCAGTCGAGCAACCCATCGCCGCCGCCTACGCCGCGTATCTCGCGCGTTCGAAAGCCGTCGCAGAAGGTTAGTGACATCCTCGCGGGCAGAGGAGCGGACAAGAACGTACCGCGTGGCGTGCAAGTTCCAAAGGAGGACGCTCCAACGGAATCCGACCTCGTTGAAGAGGTGTCCGGTGCCGCCATGGCTGCGTACATCGCCGACGTCGAGGGCCTAGACCCGCGCTCGCTGGAGGAAGCCAAGCGCAGGCCTGAGTGGCCGCGCTGGAAGGAGGCGATGGAGGAGGAGCTCCGTGCACTGGAATCGCACGGTACGTGGCGCCTGGAGCAGCCGCCAGCTGGTGCAAATGTCGTTAGCTGCAGGTGGGTGTTCCACGCAAAGAAGGACGCGTCTGGGAACATCAACCGTTATCGTGCACGCCTTGTCGCGCGTGGGTTCTCGCAGGTCCCCGGCGTTGATTTCTTCGACACATACGCACCAGTGGCGAAGATGGCTTCCATCCGCACTATCCTCGCTCTCGCCGCGCGCTACGACCTCGATGTCCACCAGGTCAACATCAAAAGCGCGTATCTAAATGGTGAATTTGAGCAGGATGAGGTGATCTACATGGCACTGCCACCGGGAGTGGAACTCACCAAGGATAGGTCACTCGCTCTCCGTCTACTGCGTATCGCAACAAGCGGGGCGAGAGCACGGGTCGTCGGGCTAGAAGCACACAAACGACGGCCTCAGTTCGTGCTCGAGTAAGGCAAGAGACTGAGTATATTGAGCATACCTAGAAGCACACAAACGACGGCTAGGGAGGTAAGTAAGCTAGAGTATGCGAAGAGATAATAACACTAATAACTCACCCTCAGTTCGTGCTCGAGTAAGGCAAGAGACTGAGGGTGCAGGACTCGAAGGGCGTGGTATATGTGGCAGGCGAACGAGAGGCACAGGTACGAGCGATGTACCGTAAAAGGAAATGAATGAGCGGGTACAGACGGCGCGCACGGCGCAACAGCGCATCACGCAATCACGGCGTGCGGCGGTACACAACAGCGGAACGTTAACGAACGTACGGGTATAGTGAAGTAACCGGGGCCGGACGATGCACGAATTGTCGTGCTTCAACACTGCGTCCGCTATACGGTCTTCGCCAGAGTGCGCGCCACTGGCACAAGAAGCTGCGCGCTGTGCTACAGAAGCGCCTTCGCATGACGCCGTGCGATGTGGACCAGGCGGTATTCTTCCGCGCCGAGAATGGCAAGTTAATTGTCATGGGTGTACACGTTGACGACCTGACTATCGCCACGTCAACCGGTCTCATGGACGAGGTGAAGGCGAACTTACGAAAAGATTTCGAAATCACCGATGAGGGCGCTATCCACTGGATCTTAGGCTTTGCAGTCGAGCGCGATCGTGAAGCGCGCACCCTCTCGCTCTCGCAGCTCTCGTACATCGAGTCAATCCTTCGCCGCTTCAACCTCGAGGACACCCGCCCTGTCTCGACGCCGATGGACCCGCACGTCCAGCTCTCCGCCACACAATCGCCGCAGACTGCTGCAGAAGCCGCCGAAATGCGGAACGTTCCTTACCGAGAGGCCGTAGGATCGCTCATGTACGCGTCGCTAGGCACGCGACCGGACATCACGTACGCCGTCTCGATCCTCGCTCGTTTCTCACAGAACCCGGGACGTGCGCACTGGGAGGCTGTCAAGCGCGTCTTCAGGTATCTTGCCGGGACGAAGCATTTGAAGCTTACCTATGGCGCAGACTCATACGACCTCGTCGGCTACACAGACGCGGATGGCTCCATGCACGAGGATCGTAAGGCCATTTCGGGCTACGCGTTCTTGATCGATGGAGGCGCTGTTTCGTGGTCGTCCAAGCGGCAAGAAATCATCTCACTCTCGACGACCGAATCCGAGTACGTTGCCATTACTCACGCCTCGAAGGAAGCTCTGTGGCTTCGCTCCCTCATTAGCCAGATCTTCACGCCATTCACCGAACCAGTCCCACTCAAATCCGACAACCTCGGAGCGATCGCGCTCACGCAGGATCACCAATACCACGCGCGCACCAAGCACATCGACATTCGTTTCCACTTCATTCGTTGGATCATTGAAGACAAGAAGCTGAAGCTTATCTACTGCCCTACGGACGACATGGTTGCCGACGTTCTTACCAAGGCCCTCGCGAGTCCGAAAGTCAAACATTTCGCCGTCGCGCTCGGGCTGTCCTAGGATTGAGGGGGAGTGTTGGAGCATACAATCTGTACGTCCGCCCGGCTCCGGCTTTACTATACCATTTCGACTTCTTTTATCACGGACTCTTACGGTACCGCCATCCCGCCGTCCCGCCGTTCTTCTGTTGACCCGCCATCGCGTTATCATCTGACTTACCATTTACGGTATTACTCTCGTTCCTGTCCCTGTCCCGTCTGCCAGATATACTGCGCTGCTTTCGTTCGGTCACCCTCAGTCTTGCTCTACGAGCGTGCACTGAGGGTGAGTACACGTTTATTTTCCGTGCCCGCATACCATAGCTCACATACACGTTAGCCTGTGATCGTCGCTACTAGGTATGCTATAATACATTAGTCTTGCTCTACGAGCGTGCACTGAGGCCTGTGATCGTCGCTACTAGCCGACCACCCGCACGCTCGCGCTGCTGCGTGTTTCATTATTGATGCCGTGAATTTGCAAACGCACATTGGTGGTTCGGCAGTGTCAGATAACCCACAGTACACACCGGCGAGGCTAGCAGTACTTGGAATCTAGATGTGGGAATCGAGCGCCATATGATTGTCAGGCAAACGATAGCGGACATGGTGCGCCGAGAACGGAGATTACCTGGATCCGATTGCGGAGATACTAACTCTGATTCGCCCAATAACGGTGTAATTGGTCGCGTGGGCAGCGAAGCGGATGCAAACGTAGGTCTGATTCCTGCATACACGATGAAGTGTCAAGTCAGCATTGTGGCAGTCGGGTTACGGATGTCCGGAGATGACCAGGCTGTTGTCGAGCCGTGCCAATTGATATCCACGCTATCGGTTATACCGCCACCTAGTACGGAAGCCTCATGGAAAACATAAAGTGATGGCGCGCGGATGCTTCACACATGGGTGACTGGGGGAGGAAGTGCGCGTCTGACGCCAAAACGCAGATACCAAAATCATCGAGAAACGTGCAGCGCTGATGCCTATTGCAACTCGAATTTTCGGAATCACCCCAGGTCCACAGAGATGCGGACGCGCCAAGGGTGAATAGGTAGGCCGTGATTCTGAGAAAGAAGAAGGCGGCAAGGGCTACAAAGATAGGACTAGGAGACCACTTGCATCGCCAAAAGCGCATGTACGTCGTCTGAGATAGTCAGCGGTTATCGTGCATTCCATAGCATTCAACACTTATCTCAATGATGACAGTTGATTCTGTAACTACATTGCTGTTGTCTGTAGTAGTCTGACGAAATCTCAGTTTTCTACTGCAACACGTTATGAATTCAGGTTAGCACTTGCATCTGTAGGATGAAGCTGTCGAAAGGCGCGACATGTAACGCCTGCATCAGAAAACCGTCAGCATGGGTGAGATGCTTGTCAGCATGTTTATGACTTAGCAATGAGCTTCGTTCGACAACCTCCACACGGTAGCACCTCACTGCGCTGCTGTAACGATCGCTTGTATTCTCACTCGCAAATCACACTTCACAACCCATAGTAATCCAGAACCACTTGATTATTCACCACGGGAATACATGCAGAGCAGCCGCGGGCTGCAGCGTGAGGACGAACACACCCGTCGTAGAGGCGGAAACCAACGTTCCCGCGGCACCCTACAGCCGCGACATTCGAGCCGGAGTGCGGATCGTTTGCGCACTCTCCCTGATGAAGAGCTCGCACGCTGGTAAGCACGTTACGCCTGCGTTCCTTTCGCCCAAGTTGCCCACAAACGCGAAGACGACGTCTGCGTTCGCACTCCTGAGCCTAGTGAGGTCGCTAATGCAGCCTGCAGACGCTAAGCGCTGCGGATATGTCGACAGTTAACGTGCCGGTTCACTGGCACCATCGCCTGGAGAGGCGCGGGAGCGATAGCTACTCAAGCCAGAGTGCCGCGTGCGAGCAAGAGACAGTGCAGGGGCGCGGGTAAGACAGTTTGCAGGCGGGCGAGACGGTGAGGGTGAGTGGCGGTGGCGGGGCGCGCAAGCAAGTGTGTGGGTGAGCTGGCAGGTGAGGATAGATAGAAGTAGTACTCACGCGGGCATCACGGACTCTCCTTCGTCCTTCTCAGCAACTCTTATAGCTAGGGTGCTTGAAACCTCCCGCATTCCAACAGGCTTCCAAACGGCCACCGCTGTGCTAGTGAGTCGCGGATGAGGGCGAGAGCGGCGGGCCCTATGGCGAGCGCCACGGGTCCAAAAAGGAACCCGTGCTCTGCACTAGATCTCGGACTCAGCATACGTGCAGGGATTGCATGAGGAGCATATATGCACGTTATGGGTGCATATATGCGCCCGTGTTATGTATATGCGGCTGTGTTACTCACATGTTAGGCTTCCGCTTCTGTGTACTAGGGTTCTTCAATGGGACGCCGGTGGTCAGACCGGGCAGCCTCCGGTTGCTTGTTCTGGGATTGAGACTTACTGTTGGGTTTTCGCTGGGAGCAGCACTAGAAGCGGCAGAGGTTGAGAGCATGGTGGTGGTTCGAGGACAAGAAGCAGTTACTGAGAAGCACGTTGCGTCTCCCTGCATGACATTGAGAGCGCGATGGAGTCGCCCACGTGACCGTCGCGTCTCGCCACTGTGGCTGAGCGCTGAGCTCTTGCGCTCCGAGTCTCCGACTTATGCCTGGCGATGCGTGCTCAGGGCATACTGATGATTCTCTTTCTCACTTTGCTTCTAATGTACTTGCTTCTACACAAGCATCTTGGCTGCAAGAAAGACTGCAAGAATTTGCGCGCTTTGAAGGCCCACGACTCGTCGTGCAGGTCCAACTCTAACGGACAGTATTTGCTAGTATCCACAAGGCAAACTCAGCTCTGCATTAGTCGACAAGCTCTGGGAAACGTCAATTGACCACAATGCTGCTCCAGTGACCGAAGACTCTGGTAGCGCGGATCCGGCGCGCGCGAGTGAAGCGGAAGAGGGTGCTTAGCAACGAAGAAGACTAGGCTATCAATGGATCTACGACGAGTCGGAAGATGATTGCTATGAAGCGGCTGACGACGAGCCTGAAGTCGAGGGAATTCCTGACGGCGACGGCGCTGAGGAGGAGAGGGCAGACGACGACTCCGAGTCGGATGAGCTTGAAGAGGATCTCGGTGGTGAGGATGCCAGGGAGGAGATGTGGGAGGATGAGTTTGACCACGAAGGCTATGCATCACCCTAGGTCCAACTATACTCATTCTTGGTGTTGTCGCAAGCCGACTGACTCTGTCATTTACAGCGAATGTTGAACATGCACGATTTCGGGCGCTTTAGTAGGTACAACACGATGAATTGATTATTTGCTCCTGCGACCATTCCAAATGCTGTTTATGGGTTTCTACGACCTGAAATTCATGCAATGAATGCATCTAAGAATGTCTTGGGTCCTATTCGGACGAGCTGAGCTCGTTGCTGTGTTTACTGATGAGCGCTTATTTCGCCAGTCCTGACACAGAGCCCGGTACGCGCGCGTCCCGTACACTTCTTGCCACTGAGCATGTTCGTTGTCACCACCCGCAATATCCTGCAATGTACGTATGCGTTCTGACAGCGCTGAGCGAGTAGTGCAGTATTCTTCATTTGTCTTAGTCTGTCTGCTGATTTCTGACCGACGTCCTACAGTCTTTACCAATCACAACGAAAACCAGCCGCCATTGCCAATCACAACAACATTCAATTATCGTCAAATATCTCATGGTATCGCACAGCGGTTTGTCAGATCACCTCTATCACCTGAGGTGGCCCAGTTGCGCTTTTGCTGATGTGATCTCACGGGAACCTATCCTCGACTCCGTAACGCAGGAACAACATCGGGTCTCCGCCGAGTACAATACAAAGTCGGTCACCATATTTGACTCGATATAAAGGTCGAATGCCCCGAAAAGCGTCTGCAGGCCACATACGCACATACATAGCGCGGCACACGGAATCGTTTGGCAGTCTCATACTACCCGCCCAGTGATATTCTTGACTCCTGCTCGCCGTGTAGTCACCATCCGCGACCGCGTGTAACGGATGGTGGCTACATAGAGGGTACGACCGTCAAAAGTCTCTGCTTGAACAACGCTCTGGTGTGTGTCAGTATACACCGGGTGCCTTCGCTCGGAGGTTGACAGTGTGTTATATCCTAAACTCACGCTTGCGACAGCTGATTTATAGCACTGGACCGCCGTTTCCCGAGCTACGTATGTACGAGCGGACATTCGACGAGCCGTGAGCTCCATAGCTAAATATCCGATGTGGGTGAAGACAAAAAACCCATAGATATGTATACTCTACGCACCAGTCGAGACTACGGCTGTTGTACAAGGCAGGAGCTCTGCCGGCGGTACGCCGAGCCCGCTATCGCCAGGCTTTGCGACACGATATCACCGTGCCGTCCTTATACTCCGCGTCGTCGTAGTCCTTCGATGCAGGGTTCTCGAAGGTATGAGAGCAGCCAGACACTGTCAGACTACTTAGTAGTGGCTCCCGTACAGCCAGGGCGGCATTTTGTCTCCTGATGGCAAATGCAAGCCGTTCGATGTTTCTGCCAACGGGTACCGCATTCCTCTGCTCAGTTTATTCTGCATCTAGTAAGAAGTTTCCGTTTAGATTCGGACGTGGCGAAGCAGCCATATCCATCGTATTGAAGCCACTGGACGCGGCGATTCGTGACCGTGACAGAATACTTATACGCCACAGTACGTTGGCATGCGCCCGAACATCAGCTGGCTTCCTCATGCGTTGCCACCTGCCGTTCCCACACTTACTTACTTATTAGTTATGTTGACGCGTGTTGTTGACAGATTCTAATCAGTATTCAGATCCGCCGATCTCCTTACCCGTGAGCATTTCCTCAGAGTTCGTCGACTTAGAGACTATCCTCGCTGTCTGGTGCACGTGAGTTCCTTCCCAATATGGCTTGGTCTCGTGCTGGTCCCCTCTGGACCTGCTCTGTGGGCGCTTCTGGCTGTGGCCCGGGCTCCCGCCCCCGCCAGTCACATGATAGGCTTCTCGCCGTCGTGCGCCACCCGCCTCCTTCCATTTGCGTCCTCGCCGGCGCTTTCCTTGCAGCCCCTGCCGCCCCCGCCGGCGCTTCCTCACCACCTGCCTTTCTCGTCCTCCCCAGTGCCTTGCACGTGCCCCTCCCGCCCCCGCCTGCGCTTCCTCGCCACCTGCCTTTCTCGTCCTCCCCAGTGCCTTGCACGTGCCCCTCCCGCCCCCGCCGGCACTTCCTCGCCACCTGCCTTTCTCGTCCTCCCCAGTGCCTTGCACGTGCCCCTCCCGCCCCCGCCGGCGCTTCTTCGCCACCTGCCTTTCTCGTCCTCCCCAGCGCCTTGCACGTGCCCCTCCCGCCCCCGCCGGCGCTTCCTCGCCGCCTGCTTTTCTCGTCCCCGCTGGCACTTCCCCTTACATATCGTATCCTCAATTTTCTCTATGTAGTACTAATATGTCTTATGATGTTGGATTCATGTGCTGTTCACGGTTGGGTATGGACTGTCAGCCGCTCAGACTGATGGCGCAAGACGCTCATCAGGATTTCGTGCAATTCCTCTGAGGGCCCTGTCAGGGGCTTCATAAGCGCTCAGAACGCTTCAGATTGCATCAGAATGGCTCATCCGGCCAGTTCTCAAGGTGTTAACTTTTTGTGAATTGTTGTTGTCAGACAGGATTTTCAGAGAGCATCAGAGATTGTCAGAGAACATCAGAGTGGTCCAGAGTGGTCCAGAGTGGTCAGAATGCATCAGACTCTCAGTTACTTCAGATGTCATCATATGTTTAACAAAAATATATCTCCGTTACTATAGACACTATAGACGGTTCAACAGGTACTACAGTTGCCCACCATACGTACTAATGCTCCGGCACTTGCTCAGCACGTCCGTTGTGCTCACGCGTCTTCTGGCTCACCAGCTTCGTCGTACTCCTCTGCTTGCGCGTCATGCTCTGCGTCTGTGTCGCAGTGTACTCACCTGGGCTCTGGTCTGCACCTCACAAAACGGGCGACAACGATAAGTTGTTAATGTCGCTCGTCGGCGTGCTGCCTGTTGCGATGTACGACGACGGCACAGGCGCGGGCGTGCCTAGCTGGTCCAGATGGCGGTACTCTGCAAACTAGCAGCGCTGCTGAGGGATCGTGTCCGCGGTCGGGACCGACTGCGCTGACGATCTCGTCTGCATGCCCTGTCGCGCGGGAGCCTAGGGCTGCGCCTGCGACGGCTGCAAGTGAGTCCTGCTGGGGAAAGTTGAGACGTAGCTGCTGCTGCTGCTGAGAGAAAGACGTGCCGTCGGGCATAGACGACATATTCGGCGGCGTCACGCTCGCGTAGCCGCCACGCCGCGACGACTGCAGGACATGCCCGGCGCTGCTGCCCGTACTCGAGATGGGACACGCTGTCCGCCTGGGCGTAGCCAGTAGCACCGACCTCTGCGTACTGCCCGCCTTGGGCGCCGAAGCTCTCAGCCCACACGTCGTAGTCCGACATGCCACGCTGGTCCTGCTGCTGCGCTGACTGCGCGGGATCGTAGAGCATGGGCGGCGCGCCAAACATCGGAGGCTCTGGGTGAGATGAGGACGATGTACTCATCTTTTCCTTCCTTCCTGCCCATCCTTCGCCCCCTGGTCACGGTGTTCTTTGCGCATCGCTGGGGTATTAGTTACGGCTGTTGGGCCATGCTCGGCTTGTGGGGTGCGTGGCGCGTCGATTCGCGTGCCGACGTCTCTTACGGACGGACTCGCACGCTTGCTCTCGAGGTAGGCGGCAAGAAGGCGATGCGGCGAAGGTAAGAGATTGCGGTGAGAGTGCTGAGGCCGAGGGCGGACAGGGGCGGACGTGTGGTGAAGTGCGAGGAAAGTAGCAAGCGCGCGTCAGTAGCGTGACGTGGCTGAGGCGCTTAGCACTTCAACCGCGCCTCCGAGTCGCAGCCTCCATATCGACGCTCGTGTCCTCTACCCTCTACCACCTCCCGCTCGCGCATCCACCCGTTCTTTGGCCATTGAGCGCTGAGCACCCACCCGCCCACCGGCCTACCCGCCCCTCTGACCAGCCGCAGTTCATCGGCCTCCGCTGGCACCACCCTTCCTGACGTGGCAGAGCTCTGCCAGCTGCTGCTCGACCTCGACTTCCACGGGACGTTCCGCACGCTGTGCGCCTTCCGCCCGAGCGTGGACGAGCCCGTGCAGAACGTCTTCGTTTTCTCGCGCTTCATGATACGTCTCATAGCCTCGACATCGCCAAGACTGGCGCGCGTGGCCACGGTTTCAATCGAGCAAGAGCGAGTAGTGGGGACGGAGTGCGAAAGGGATGTGGAGAGGATGCGCGAGAAAGGTGCGTGTGCCTCTACGACGCTGCTACATTGTCTGCGCCCTGCCCTCCGCCTTCTTTGTTCAGCAGTTGCAGTCGCACCCATCGGTGAGTCGACGCCCGTCGCGCAAATATGTCCCGATGCGCCGTGGCTGGGCAGTCCGCCGCGCCGATCTCGCCACCGTGCTGGCTGGGGCAAGACTGCAGGACTACTGGGTAAGCTGCTGCGCATCTTTGTGTCTGTACCGCTTCCTACTCTCTCTTACCGCTGCCTTGCACGCGCCCTGAGCTGCATGCAAGACCCGGGTCCGCGTCGAAAACCAGTGCCTCAGCGGGCGGCCACGCACCCGAAATGCGCGCCGCCATGCCTTTGCCGCGCCCAACGCACCTCGAAGTCAGATATAGCGCGACGGCTTTCCCCGCCTCCGAGCTATGGACAGCCCTCGATGTATGTGCCCCCACATTCAGTCCTGCCCCTCACGCGCAGCCTGTGTATCACGTAGATCCAAGAGCTCCCCGGCGCTCATTCTCCCGGGCTCGACGTGCCCACTCCCTTAGGCCGCGTCCCTTCACCGCCCTCACCTCTCCAACGCAGCAATCAATCTAACTGACCCTTTGTCCATGCATCTTATAGCCACAGCCCTCCACTGATGCGATCAACGAGGATTGCGACCCTCACGTCCGTCTGCACTCCACATGAGGATGGAAAAGATCTTGGCGATGCCGCCGACGTGTCGTGAGAGCAGTAAGTCCCCCCCCCACCTACACACTCAGGCTGTGCTCCGACGTGTAGACATAGGACGTGTAAACATAGATATTATGATGATTGTAGTAGACTCAAAATTCATTGCTTTTGCACCTATTTTCATACAGTAGGGGTTTCCTGACGAAATGTATGATTCTGCTGTCTGACGTACTGTGCTACCTGACACTCTGGCACTATCTGAGGCCAGATGAAGTGATCTGACGAGTTATGATGTCTGGAGTGCTCTGATAGGCTCTGAAGCTCTGAAGGCCGACTGTCAGACACACATACCGTCAGAGATTGCACAGTTTCCTGATGCTGCGGGTTGTTATTCTATTTGTCAGGTGTCATGTGTCATCAAATTACTATTTCTGGATGACCAAATGCATAAGCACACACACGCAAAACTCAACTCGACGAGGGCAAACATTGATCGTGTATACAGTATCCAGGACAACACAAAGCAAGACAACGGTGAGAGCATTGACGATGATAGCAAGATAGCAAGTAAGACCGATGAGTAACAGACAAGAAGGGACAGCATGTATGACGAGAGCGAAGCACAACAAGCAGGTACAACAAGAGCAAAGCAAGACAGGTACAGCGAGGAGGCAGGAGTATGATGAGGACGGACGGATAGAAGCATCATGAGATTATAGAAAGACGTAACATAGCGACTCAAGCGGCACCACCTTCATTGTCCGAGTTATCAATGAATTCGGCGCTCTTTGGATCCAAAGGCTTCTGCGTTGACTTGCGTGACGTCCGAGGACGCTTCGCCAACGGCTGTGACTCAGTCCCGCCGTCATCTGTGTCGCTGCCAGGATCCACAGCATTGGCAGCGCGTTTGCCACGCAGAACACCCTTGTCTTGGCGTTCTTTACGAGGCGCGATCTCACCACTGAGAACTTTACGGTTGAACTCCTCTTCGCGCCGCACGCGCTCAGGCTCCGGGAGGCGGTAGAACCGGCATGAGCCATCCTTGAGGGCTGAGAGGAGTTTCTGGAGGGGCGGGAGACTGGTGCTCATCTCGGACGGATTGATGAACTTATCAAATGTCCAGCCCGTGACATTGATGCCAAACTTCACAATGAAGTCGCGTTCGAAGTTGACGTAGTTCATGCGGACGTGCTTGTTGCCGGTCAAATCCACTGCAGGCGGTTAGATCTCAGCCTCGTGAAGATAGCGACATACGTACCGAGTTGCTTCTGGATCACACTGCGGATCTCAGCCTTCAAGAAGTCAGCGCGTTCCTTCGCAGTGCGTAGGAACTCTAGTTGGCTTGTGAGCGATGTTTGGAAGAGATGTAAAAGAAAGACGCACTCATAAAGTCACACCCCGCAACGGCAAAGGCCTCAGCCAGCGCACCAATGTTTTCAACATCCCACCCCTTTCGAATCGCCAATCCGAGGTACGTGTTGATATGCGGATTCGTGAAGTACCATCGAGGGCTGTAAGGGATGCCCGCCTTGCTCTTGAAGACGCAAAAGAAGCCCTGCATGCCCGTGCGCAAGCAGAGCCCATACATCTGCATGTACAAGGTGAGTGAAGAGGGACAATGAAAGAATATTGCACTTACCTCGAGCTCCATACGGCCACTCGTTGCGTTGACATCATTCAGAACTGCTCGAACCGTGAGACGAGCACCGAATTTCTTTGATTGCCGCACATCCTCTAATGGGGCCTCGAGTTCAGCTTTCTCCTCTAGGGTCAAGCTGTAATACTCATGCTTTCTCTCCCGTTGGACGTTAACCATACGACGTGTTTGACCTGGGGCGGCACCTGTGCATGGCCTGAGAATGTATGGGGCGCAGAGTCAGACATTACACACCTGCGTTTGCTTCCTTCACTACCTTACTTGACCAGGCGTTGCACGGGTTCTGTTTCCGTGATTCCTTCGAACGTGAACCTTGAGAGAACAGGAGGTGAAGGAAGTGCTCTGGCGTCTTATTGAAGTCCTTGGCCATTTCCTCGGCGTATGCAGTGGTGTACGCGTGCCATTTTTCAATGCGCGCGCTGATGCTTTCTTGCTTCTCGTTGCGTGCAGCCTCCATGGCCTTTCGCTGCTCAGGTGGGAGAGGAGGAGGAGCCAGGCGCCGAGGGGGCTCCTGTGGCTTTGCCGTCACAGCAAAAGACGGGCCATAGGTCACCGTCGCCATGTCTGGACAGCGCACCTCAGGAGTCACGCACGGAAGCCAGAAGGCCGCAGAGGTGGGTGGACGTGGGTGCTGCGTCAAACATTTCTTCGAGGGCACTACCTTAAACACTATTCACGGGCGCCAGGGGTTGACTCTAGTTTTGACGTTAGCAATGCAACCGGGTAGGTGACGGTGACAGATCAAAGGATTGAAGCGAACATGAAAAAATGCGCAGACAAAGGCGCTTGACATTTGGGTGTGACTAACACGAGCACAAAACAAGAATACAGAACGAGAACACTGCAAGAACACGACCGCACGATGAGAGCACAACTATACAACACCACAGATACGATGGACATAGCACAAGAAAGCAGCGAGGACAGAACGTACAGCAGAGACGACAGCAGAGACGACAGCAGATCAGCATACACAACCGAATACCAAGAAAAACCGCTCCAAGAAAAGCCACCGACGACGACGGGACCTAACGCCCAGTGCCCTGCAGATCCGCCTGCATCGCATCACTGAGCTCCAAGGCGATGGCCCCGCAGTCCTCAGCGACGACGTGGAACTGTGTCATGAGCTCACCTGCGAGAAGTCGGGGCCAGACCAGCGCAGCACTGCTACCGGCGACCTTCTCACAAGTATTGTGAACGAGGTAATCAAGGTGATGATTCTCGATGACTTCTTGGACGGCATGACCAAAGCCCCGAGCATACCGCGAGCCTAGTTCGCTTGCTGCGGTGCTAGTGGCGCCCTGCACGCTCAGATGAGGCTGAGCCGAAGTCGAGGGCGATGCTGTGCCTGAGAGTGCACCACCAGGCGTAGCTTGAACACCTAGACAAAGGAAGTCAGCTCAGTAGACAAATACGAGGCATATCTGCCAATTGTACGTACCACGGTTTGCCGACAGCCTCTTCTTCAAGTCCCGGATGACCTCCTTCGTAGACCCCAGGTCCGACATGAGCTTCGAGTTTGCCTTCTGCAAATCATCCCTCTCCAAGCGAGTCACGTTCACATCGTGTATGTGATTTTGGAGTACTAAGTCGTGCGCGACAATCTTTGACTGCGCATCAATTAACTCTGCGTTGAGGGAGGCGATCATCGCCGTCTTGTCCTCAAGGGCAACGTCGAGATCATGCATCATCTGCTCGTATCCCTCCGCGTGGCGGTGTAGCTCCTCAAGCTCGTCGAGGAGTTGCTGACGAGACTGCGTACGCTTATCGCCATCGTCGAGGATTTGGTCTATCTGGCCCTTAGGGCGACCACGGAAGATGTAGTGCGAGGTGCCGCGACTGTCGGGGAGTAGGGAGGTGACGGGCTGAGTTGGAGCCCAATGAGTGTACTTTTACGTTCCTAACGGTACACCCGGGCTGCATATTCCCCGTTGTCAACGGAAACCCGACGCCGGCCGGAGAAATGTGTCCGGAGGTTGCAAACCCACCGGCCGGCACCTGAGGTGCCCATTGTTAGCAGACTGGCCGGTCTTGTTTTGAACGGACCGGCCGGCAATAGGGCAAATCAACAAGTGTTACTGAACAATGGTCCGGAATTTAATCTATGGTTGTAAATGGACCGGCCAGAGATCAGGCACCTACATTTATAACAGACCGGCTGGGACTCATATACCCACATTAATAACAGACCGGCCGGAGCTCATATACCCACATCATTGATGCACCGGCCGGAGCTCATACATTCACATTATCAATGCACCACCCAGAGCTCATATACCTTGACTTAGAATGCACCGGCCGGAGTTCATGTACCTACATTTATAACATACCGGCCGGAGGTCATATACCTGCATTGCAAAAGGACCGGCCGGTCATAGTCTACCTACACCAAAAACAGACCGGCCAGGCATGACATACTTACACTACACATGGGCCGGACAGTCATAACAAACCTACATTAGAAATGAACCGGCCGGTCATATGGAATCTGAATGATAATTGTGCCAAACATCCCAGAACACATTGTCAAAGATGCACTGAGGTTTCTGGACCATCAACACACTGGACCTAGGTTTTTTGGGCTTGGAATACATTGACAAGCGTTCCCTTACATGCTCCCAATTTTATCAGGTACATACAAACCATGCCCATGCTTCAAAAGCACCATAAATGAGCTTTTCTAGCCTGGAAACAGACCAGATCCAGGTTTTCCAGGCTGGAATTGCTTCAAAGGCTATTCTTGCACATGTGTTTAGCTCCCTAAATCATATTTACAACAGGTCTGAGCCTTATACACCAAGTCGGAGTATTTTGCACAATCGCTGAGATTCCACAAAGTCCCGGCGCCGGGGGTGCACCAAGTTGCGGCGCCGCAAGTGCTCCAAGTTGCGGCGCCGCAGGTGCACCAAGCCTCGGCGCCGCACCGTCTCGTTAAGCGCCGAGAAACATCGCTCGGCGCCGAGACTTGGTGCACCTGCGGCGCCGCAACTTGGTGCACCTGCGGCGCCGCAACTTGGTACTACCTCGGCGCCGAGTTGTGCTAAACCTGAGGAATAATGGAGTTTCTAACAATGATCACAAAAAGATTACTGATGTTTGTTACACCAATGACCTTTTGTAGCTCATCTTATAGGGAATGTTAGGTTCATTAGGAAATCTCCTAATGACACTACAAAGGTTTGTATGTGGTTACTTATAAAAAGTGATGTTTGTGTCTCATTGTGTAGGGAATGGTCTGTTGATAAGTAAATCTTCTATTGACACTTCAAGGATTCTCAACGGTTAGGCCGGTACAGCTGCTTTTCCTGTTCCGGCTGGTAAGTAAACTCACTAATGACACTACAGTGTGTTGTATTTAATTAGTACATAATGAAATTAAGACAAAGGAACACTGTAGGAACAAGAGGTTGATTATCACAAAAGAATACATCATAGTTACAACCCTGCATCAAGGTTGAACTGTCTAGCATTTACAGAAAAGTCAGTGAGTTCCAAATGTAGGCTGTAGCAGAGCAATGTACCTAGGACCACATGTGTTAATTCTATAGAATGTCTCATATTCATCTGGGATTGGTTTCTACATACAGATATATATGTAGGGTGTGGCCATCATGATCATAGCAGAATGTATGAGGATAAATGAAACATGTATCAGCAACCCATCCATACATGACTTGATGAATGTACTTGTTCATCTGGACACATGTTGGCACAAAAGTTGTACATAAAGGCAACAACTTATCACTTCAGAGACATATCACTAATTGTGCATGTCCCTGCTCCCTTCTTACTCTCCTCACCATGGCAGTATTCTTTGCCCACATTAGGTTAGTGGCTATAATGTATGTTCATACAGCCAGCAGCACATATGCCAAATCTCATAGCTTAATCTTCCAAGCTGTAAGTGCTACCAACTTTAGTGTGGGCGCTAGATCAGCCAGAAGTTGTCATAGTACTACACATTTGTAATGTAGTGTTCTGTCTACTGTACAATAACAACAGCATGAGATGTACACATCCTTGTAGTCTCATCATAATAGTTGCTTATCAACCTAATGTTCCCCACAAGATGAGATACAAATATGTGTAGTGTTATCAATAAGCTTACTTACTGGCTGAACAAGAAAAGCTGCTGTACTGGCCTAAGCATTGAAAATCCTTGAAGTGTCAATAGAAGATTTACTTATCAATAGACTATTCCCTACACAATGAAATATAAACCTCACTTTTTATAAGTAACCACATACAAACCCTTGTAATGACATTAGAAGATTTACTAATGAACCTAACATTTCCTATAAGATGAGCTACAAATGTACAAATTGAATACAATATACTGTAGTGTCATCAGTAAGTTTACTTACCAGCCAGACAAGAAAAGCAGCTGTACCGGCCTGACCATTGGAAATCCTTGAAGTGTCAATAGAAGATTTACTTATCAACAGACCATTCCCTACACAATGAGACACAAACATCACTTTTTATAAGTAACCACATACAAACCTTTGTAGTGTCATTAGGAGATTTCCTAATGAACCTAACATTCCCTATAAGATGAGCTACAAAAGGTCATTGGTGTAATAAACATCAGTAATCTTTTTGTGATCATTGTTAGAAACTCCATTATTCCTCAGGTTTAGCACAACTCGGCGCCGAGGTAGTACCAAGTTGCGGCGCCGCAGGTGCACCAAGTTGCGGCGCCGCAGGTGCACCAAGTCTCGGCGCCGAGCGATGTTTCTCGGCGCTTAACGAGACGGTGCGGCGCCGAGGCTTGGTGCACCTGCGGCGCCGCAACTTGGAGCACTTGCGGCGCCGCAACTTGGTGCACCCCCGGCGCCGGGACTTGGTGCATCCTCGGCACCGGGACTTTGTGGAATCTCGGCAATTGTGTAAAATACTCGGACTTGGTGTATAAGGCTCAGAGCTGTTGTAAATGTGGATTGGGAGGCTCAATAAATGTGTTCTGATGCATTTCCAGCCCAGAAAGGCTGGTTTTGGTCTATTTTCAGCCCAGAAAACTCAATTTTGATGATTCTAAAGCTCTGGAATGGTTTGCATGTGCCTGGAAAATTGGGAGCATCTATGGGGATGCTAAAAATGTATTCAAAGCCCAAAAAACCTGGGTCCAGTGCATTTATGGTCCAGAAAACTCAGTGCATCAATGAATATGTTTCCAGGATGGTGGGAGCAATTGATATTCAGGCTCCATATGACCGGCCGGTTCATTTCTGATATAGGCATGCTATGCCTGGCCGGTCAATGTGTAGTGAAACTATGTCATGGCCGGCCGGTTTGTTTTGTGCGTGGGTACATTATGACCGGCCGGTTCTTTCTCAATGTAGGTATATCACCTCTGGCCGGTGTGTTATTAATTTAGATATATTACCTTCGGCCGGTACATCATAAACAAAGGTATATGACCTTCGGCCGGACCATTTGAAACCATAAGGATGCATTCCGGCCGGACTATTTCCAAACACAGGGATGAAATCCTGCTGGAGTGTTATAAATGTGGTTGCCACTCTCCGGCCGGTCCATTTACAACCATAGATTAAATTCCGGACCATTGTTCAGTAACACTTGTTGATTTTCCCTGCCATCGGCCGGTCCGTTCAAAACAAGACCGGCCAGTCTGCTAACAATGGGCACCTCAGGTGCCGGCCGGTGGGTTTGCAACCTCCGGACACATTTCTCCGGCCGGCGTCGGGTTTCCGTTGACAATGGGGAATATGCAGCCCGGGTGTACCGTTAGGAATGGGTATGGTCCGCTCATGAATGTGTGAGTTGCTTGTGACAACAACGCGTTACCGTCTTCCTGCATGGTGAAGGACCAGTTGAGCTTCTTGCGGGCGAGGTCCTCAAAGCGCTGCACGGCCTGCACGCCAATCTCCTCTGCAAATTGTTGGACAATACGGGCCAGAGCCGGCTTGGCAGACGGTATTTGAGCGAGGATGTGAGGCGGGGCGTAGACATGGATACGCAGATCCTGAGGAAGAGGTAGGGTACCAGCCGGGCGAGCACTGGGCTGTTGTGTACCAGATACATGGATTGCCACCGTGCACCCTCCGTCGATGCGATCCAATGCCGTCAACTAGACAAACACTTAGTAGACGAGAGAACAGACTGTGAAAACGGACGTACGGAATCAAACGCCAAGTTTTGTAAATTTTCGCGGAACTGCGACCGCACACGCCGACCATCCACTCCTGTCCCTGTCTCCTCACGAGCCTCTTTGAACATAGGGTGGATATCATCCATGCCGGCAGTGTGACGTCCATCCTTGTGAGCACCAGCAACAAAGAAGGCAACATCGGCGGACTCAAGCTGGGAGCGATATGTTGGCGAACTAGGCTCCAGAGCACGATCTAACGCTTGAGCGAGACGTTGGAGGCCGATAGGATTGAAGCGGAGGCGAGTGATAGCCTCAGTTGCCCACTGGTGTCGCTCTTCTCGACGTTGTTGGTCGGTGTCGGTGGGCATCGTGAACACGCAGGTACGGAGGGGTGGTGGCTGAGAGCAAATGGCTACTGAGTGAACGTTCGGAATCTGAGCGCTGGACTCACCAAACCAGCCCGAACCAGGCCCGAACCGTGCAACTCTCTTTACGCTCGTTCCTTAGTGAGCGTTCAATTGTCCCAGGTCACTGTTTGATGTAACGTACATGTTCTGAGAGTAAAATGTATTCATGAGAGCTACGGGTACTAGTAGTAGGCGGCTTCACATACAGCAAGTTCACCGTTTCAAGTTCATGTAGCATTGCATTTGCGCGTGCCGTGCAGATCTCAGGCTGGTCAGCTCAAGTGAGCATCATAACATGCCTGAATCGCAAATTGTCATAGTACAATGCTGGAACGAGTCACAATATTCGACGTTACATCAATGCTGCATAATACACAAGATACGTGTGCTTCAAGTTCATAATTCTGCTCTACGCCGGCTCGTGTCTCCCAAGGTTGTCGATGAAGTCTACATACAAGTTTGCCTCACGCACCGAGCTGATCCCCTCGAACAACTGCTCAGCATCATTGTCTCCGCTATCCGACCCATTGTCCCCATCTGAATCTATCTCCACAAGTCCACGGGCCCACGAGGGCAGCGGAACGCCATCATTCCGAGTGGCAGAACGCCCGATACGGACGCCAGAGGTGAGGGCACCGGTGAAGCCTGGCAATCGAGAGGTCTGTTCAAGGTGTGCAGCAATCCTCGCATGGATCGCATTGCGGTAACGCCATCGTTCTTTGAGCTCGTGTACGAGGTTTGGCGTACTCTCGGACGCTTTCTGTACCGCGTTGTGGTATTCGACGTGCTCATCATACATGAATGTGAGCAGCCGGCGGATCTCGACATTAAGTCGCTCGATTTCCTCATGGGCGCGCTTGATGTTGTAGTGCAGGTTCATCGCACGCCGGTTGGAGTACTGAGCCCAGGGTTGTTTGCGAATGTCGTCCCGGGTCTCTCGAAGAAGATCAAAGTCGGCGAGATTGACCATGTCAATCACCTCCGACCAGGTGAGCTGCGGACGTGGAGGGATCAGCTTGCTGGCCTTGTCATTGTAACGCTGTAAGCCTACTGCTTACCACACATCACCATACTTACCATATCGGGCTGTTGTGCAGTATGTACATGCCGGCGCCTCATTTGCTTCCGTGCTCGAACGTCCCCGGACTCGGACATTCGAACCACCATCATCTCCCGCTCTTCCGTTCCCGTTCATCACCCCATATATCCTAGCTAGACCACACCATCCCCGTCTCCGAATAACATAGCCCGTTCCTGTTCTTGCGTCTGACGCCTGAGCTGAGTGTGCCCTGCCACACCTCCGGCGGCAGGCCTTCACTTTTTTTTTGAACACCGAACGTAAGCCGTGTACCCATACGTCACCCTCCACTGCACTGTTCCGCATCCGAAACCGCTCTGCAACGACGACGCTGATAGGGCGGCTTAGCTGTCCTCAACTGTGCCGAACCGTTTATACGAACCGCATCCGACGCTGCCGTGCATTCGTCCTCTGGGCGAGTGCCACCCCCCTTCTGAACCGTCTATCATGCCGCCTCGTGCAAACACACTCCGCCCTCGCGCGGCCGCTCGTCCACCACCGGGTGCGGACGCCCGAGCGACGACTTCGCACCGGCCTCCGTCCACGTCCTCCCCACTTACGCCGCCACCTGGGGACCAGTCCTCGCCAAGCACCCCGCCACGGGGGGCGGAGAGACAACCAGTGACGTCAGGAGGGCTGGACTCCACCGTAACTCAACCAACTGTCCCCAGTCCCCGCCAGGGCACTCCCGTAACGCGTCCGCTGTCACCTGCACGTCCGAAAACACCCGAAGTCATAAAGACTCCACCCGTCTGGACGCTTTCCGATTCCACTTCTGACTCTGACGACGACCACGTCTCGCGCACCATGACGACCAACGCTCACCGCTCGTCCTCCTCGCTTGCCACCGTCGAGTGGGACAACCCGTCGAAGGCGCCGACACTGCAGGATGGGGCTCTCAGTCCCGAAGTGCTCGACACCTTCGAAAACTATTGCCTGCATTTCTTTGGCAACAAATCCGTTCCCGCGGCAGACCAGACCCGTCTCGTGGCTGGTCGCATCATGATCCCACGTGTCCTCGCCTGGACCGCGCTGAGGCGCACGGAGCTGTACGCTATGACCTTCGCGCAGTTCATGGCCGCTCTACGAAAGAACTTCCTGGACGCTCGCTGGGAGGACACCACGCACCGAAAGCTGAAGCTTATGCGCATGAAAGACGACGAGCCGTTCGAGGAGTATTGCGTTCGATTCGAGAACATGAACGCGATCCTCAAGGGAACTGCCCACCACCTCGACGACGCCGCGATCATCGAACAACTCGCCGTCTCCGTGTCGAAGGCACTCGCCTCCCGTCTGCATACCCGCGCGGACAGCTTAAAAGACGCAAAGATCGCCGGACTGCGCGACTGGAGGACCGTGGTCCAATCCATCGACGAGGAACGACGCGCTCAGCTGGCCGACTTCGAAACGGTCAGCCGTAGGGGTCGCGAAGAGCGGCGCCCGCAGACACTGTCCGAACCTTCCCGCCGCACGAACACTGCTGCGAACAGTCGCGCCTCGAGCACCCGTCCCGACACGCCGACGTTGCCGAAGCTCACCCCGGACGAACTGCGACTCCTCGACGCCAACGAGGGTTGTCGTAAGTGCCGCCGTTTCTGGGTCGACCACCGGGCCAAGCAGTGTCCCAATGACTTCCCAAAACCGACCGGGTACCGTACCGTCCTTGACCCAAGCTGACGCCGACTCCGCCCGCAAGGGAAAAGGGAAGGCAATCGCGGCCGTGCAATCAGCCCAATACGAGTCCGAAGACGAGAACGAACAACCGTCCGCATCGGCACGCCCCGTCGCCGTCGTCCGCGGCATGCACGATGTCGTGCCGTACGCATCGTCGAACATGGCCGACGATGAAGACGCTGACAAATCGGACTCGGACGAGTCGCACTGGGTGAGTCCGTCCGGTTCGTGTCCGCCTGTCATCGCGGCTGTTGCGCCGTCGACAGTGAACGAAAGCATCCACTCCCCTCACCTTGTCTGGGATGCAGTCGTTCACGCGACGACTACAGCTGGTGATGCAGTGCCGGTTCGGGCATTAATTGACAGTGGGTCACACCTAGTGCTGATTCGCGAGGACCTCGTGAACAACGCGTCCTGGCGTCGGTATAAGCTACCCGTCCCGCAAACTGTCGAGCTCGCCATGACGGCTCAAGAACGAAAAGCAACGGTCACCCTGACCGAGTACGTTAAAATCCGTCTCTCTCATCCCTCTTTTGCATGGTCTTCTCGCTCCGTCCGTGCCGTTGTCACACCCGGCCTGTGTGTTCCTGTCATTCTCGGTCTACCCTTCCTCGTTAAGAACCGCGTGGTCGTTGATCACGCCGCCCGTACCGTATTGTCGCAAAACGCTGGGTTTGAACTCATGCATGGTGTATATTACCGTCCTGTAACGTTGCCTCCCCCGCCGCCACCCACTGTACAACAGTTAGAATCAGTCATGTCCAATAGATCGGCCGTTTTGGGGGAATTGCAACAAACAACGGCGCAACGTCGCGTGCGCGCCGATCTGTCTGCACCGCGTCCCTGTAATGCCATTAGTGCAATCAGAAACACCATAGAATGCCTGGCCTTGAAGCAGCAATTACAGCGGCGCAGCAGCTCTGTTTTACACGATTTCAAGGAGGTGTTCCAACCAATACCTCATGCGGACATGCTACCAGATGACGTGCACTGTCGGATCAAGCTAAAAGATGCAAACAAGCTGATTTCGTCCCGCTCATATGCGTCTCCGCGCAAATTTAAGGATGCTTGGTCCACCTTGATCCAACAACATCTGGAAGCTGGCCGCATTCGTCCGTCTAACTCACAACACGCTTTGCCTGCCTTCCTGATACCTAAGGCCGACCCAACTGCTCTCCCGCGGTGGGTAAATGACTACCGTCAACAGAACGCAAATACTGTGCCAGATAACTTCCCCTTACCTCGCGTGGATGATGTACTCGCCGACTGTGGTAAAGGGAAGATCTGGAGCAAGATGGATATGACGAATGCCTTCTTTCAAACTCGCGTTCACCCAGACGATGTACCCCTCACGGCAGTGTCCACGCCACTAGGGTTGTATGAATGGCTTGTAATGCCTATGGGTTTACGCAACGCGCCTGCCATTCACCAGCGGCGCGTAACTGCTGCGCTTCGTCCCTACCTCGGGAAATTCTGTCACATCTACTTGGACGACATAGTCATTTGGTCTGATACGGTCGAGGAACACGATCACCACGTGCGTCTTATACTGCAGGCATTAAAGGACGCTCGTTTGTACGTGAACTTAAAGAAATGCGAGTTCTTCGTTACAGAGCTGTCCTTTCTGGGACACCACATTTCCACTGATGGCATCCGTCCACAAACGTCCAAGACGGATCGTATCCTTCAATGGCCCCGCCCTAAGAGTGCGAAGGACGTCCGTGCCTTTCTCGGTCTCGTTCGCTATGTTGCCACGTTCCTACCGCACCTTGCTGAGCACACGCGCGTCCTCACTCCCCTCACTACCAAAGAAGCCCAAGCCAGCTTCCCCGATTGGACCGATGCGCACCAGCACGCCTTTGAAGCCGTGAAACGCCTCGTCACCAGTACTGAATGTCTGACCGTTATCAACCATGATAATCACGGCGATAACAAAATATTTCTCACCTGTGATGCCAGTGACTGGCGTACCGGCGCCACACTCAGCTATGGTCCCTCATGGGAAACTGCCCGTCCTGTCGCGTTTGATTCTACACAACTCCGTGACGCCGAGCTTAATTACCCTGTGCATGAAAAGGAGTTGTTAGCAATTATTCGCGCGCTGAAGAAATGGCGGGCGGATTGCGTGGGTGAACACGTTTACGTGTACACCGACCACCGCACGTTGCAGAATTTTGACGGTCAGAAAGATCTCTCGCGGCGACAGTTGCGCTGGCAAGAGTTCTTGTCCCAATATGACATCTCCATTGTGTACATCCGCGGCGAGGACAATACGGTCGCTGACGCCCTGTCAAGGGTACCCCCTAACGCCTTCCCTGATGAACAGGCATCGACCGTCGGAGCAGTGCTGTCGGTGCAGGCCGATCCCGTTCTTCTGAACGATATCCGTGCCGGTTACGCCCGCGACGACTTCTGTGTCAAACTCGCCGCAAACGCCACATCAACGCCCGGCGCGCAATGCATTAACGGACTCTGGTACCTCGGGGACCGCTTACTCGTACCACGAGTCGGTAACGTCCGGGAACGCCTGTTTCAGACGGCCCATGACACACTTGGACATTTTGGTGCGGATAAGTCTTACGGCTCCCTGCGCAATGCATTTTACTGGCCCAACATGCGCCGAGACCTTGAGCAGGCGTACATCCCTGCGTGCCAGGACTGCCAGAGAAACAAGTCACGTACAACGAAAGCGGCTGGTCCGCTGCATCCCCTGCCCGTTCCCGACGACCGCGGGTCCTCCGTTGCCATCGATTTTGTCGGCCCCCTGCCCGAGGACGACGGTCACAATTGTTTGATGACCATTACCGACCGCTTGCACTCCGATGTCAGGATCGTGCCCACACGCACGGACGCCTCCGCGGAAGATGTCGCTCTCCTGTTCTTCAATCACTGGTATTGCGAGAATGGACTGATGTTTGAGTTGATCACTGACCGCGATAAACTCTTCGTCTCCCGCTTCTGGCGCGCCCTCCACAAGCTGACCGGAGTTAAACTGAAGATGTCAACTTCGTTTCATCCGCAAACAGACGGCTCGAGCGAACGTACGAACAAAACCATCACTCAATGCTTGCGGTATCACGTCCAACGCAACCAGAAGGGCTGGGTACGCGCACTCCCGTGTGTTCGTTTCGACATTATGTCGGCCGTGAATGCAAGCACAGGGTATAGCAATTTTCAAATCCGATTTGGCCGTGCTCCGCGTGTCCTGCCACCGTTGGTAGACACCGTGAGTCGTCCAAACGCGTCCGAGGAGGAAACAGCTGAACAGGCTGCTGAGCGAGTCACGCGCGAAGTCGCTGAAGACGTCGCGGATGCGCGCGACTGTATGCTTGCGGCGAAGGTACACCAGGCGGCTTTCGCCAACCGGTTCCGGGGTGTCGAGAGGCCATACGCTGTGGGCGACAAGGTTATGCTGAGTACGCTCAATCGGCGTCGCCAGTACAAGGCCAAGGGCGAACACAGGGCGGCGAAATTTTTCCCGCGCTGGGACGGTCCCTACCGAGTGATCCGTGCTTACCCCGAAACATCTACCTACGAACTGGAACTCCCGCCTACGTCCAAGGCGTTTCCCGTCTTTCACAGCTCCGAGCTGAAACCCCACGTGGAAAATGACCCTACCCTCTTTCCGGATCGCCACCTCGACCAGCCTGCTCCCGTGCTTAATGATGCCGGCGAGGAGGAATACTTTGTGCACCGTATCTTGGATCAACGCACCTACCGCCGCCAAAGACAACTCCTCGTCCGCTGGAAGGGATACGGTCCAGAACACGACTCCTGGTTACCCGCGTCCGAGCTCGACGACAACGCCGCGCTCGATGATTGGGAGGCTCTCCAGAAGGTCAAGGGTGGGTCAACCACGCGGTAGCTTTTCCCCACAGGGGTTTTTGATGCACCCGTGCTGCGTACCCGTTGGGTTGGAAGGAATTACATTACACTACTTACCTAACTACTCGCTGCTCGCCATAGCCCCCCCCCCCCGCTCGTTCTTCACTGCCCGGGAGGGTGTAAGCCTACTGCTTACCACACATCACCATACTTACCATATCGGGCTGTTGTGCAGTATGTACACGCCGGCGCCTCATTTGCTTCCGTGCTCGAACGTCCCCAGACTCGGACATTCGAACCACCATCATCTCCCGCTCTTCCGTTCCCGTTCATCACCCCATATATCCTAGCTAGACCACACCATCCCCGTCTCCGAATAACATAGCCCGTTCCTGTTCTTGCGTCTGACGCCTGAGCTGAGTGTGCCCTGCCGCACCTCCGGCGGCAGGCCTTGCATCAGGAAACTGTGCAATCTCTGACGGTATGTGTGTCTGACAGTCGGCCTTCAGAGCTTCAGAGCCTATCAGAGCACTCCAGACATCATAACTCGTCAGATCACTTCATCTGGCCTCAGATAGTGCCAGAGTGTCAGGTAGCACAGTACGTCAGACAGCAGAATCATACATTTCGTCAGGAAACCCCTACTGTATGAAAATAGGTGCAAAAGCAATGAATTTTGAGTCTACTACAATCATCATAATATCTATGTTTACACGTCCTATGTCTACACGTCGGAGCACAGCCTGAGTGTGTAGGTGGGGGGGGGGACTTACTGCTCTCACGACACGTCGGCGGCATCGCCAAGATCTTTTCCATCCTCATGTGGAGTGCAGACGGACGTGAGGGTCGCAATCCTCGTTGATCGCATCAGTGGAGGGCTGTGGCTATAAGATGCATGGACAAAGGGTCAGTTAGATTGATTGCTGCGTTGGAGAGGTGAGGGCGGTGAAGGGACGCGGCCTAAGGGAGTGGGCACGTCGAGCCCGGGAGAATGAGCGCCGGGGAGCTCTTGGATCTACGTGATACACAGGCTGCGCGTGAGGGGCAGGACTGAATGTGGGGGCACATACATCGAGGGCTGTCCATAGCTCGGAGGCGGGGAAAGCCGTCGCGCTATATCTGACTTCGAGGTGCGTTGGGCGCGGCAAAGGCATGGCGGCGCGCATTTCGGGTGCGTGGCCGCCCGCTGAGGCACTGGTTTTCGACGCGGACCCGGGTCTTGCATGCAGCTCAGGGCGCGTGCAAGGCAGCGGTAAGAGAGAGTAGGAAGCGGTACAGACACAAAGATGCGCAGCAGCTTACCCAGTAGTCCTGCAGTCTTGCCCCAGCCAGCACGGTGGCGAGATCGGCGCGGCGGACTGCCCAGCCACGGCGCATCGGGACATATTTGCGCGACGGGCGTCGACTCACCGATGGGTGCGACTGCAACTGCTGAACAAAGAAGGCGGAGGGCAGGGCGCAGACAATGTAGCAGCGTCGTAGAGGCACACGCACCTTTCTCGCGCATCCTCTCCACATCCCTTTCGCACTCCGTCCCCACTACTCGCTCTTGCTCGATTGAAACCGTGGCCACGCGCGCCAGTCTTGGCGATGTCGAGGCTATGAGACGTATCATGAAGCGCGAGAAAACGAAGACGTTCTGCACGGGCTCGTCCACGCTCGGGCGGAAGGCGCACAGCGTGCGGAACGTCCCGTGGAAGTCGAGGTCGAGCAGCAGCTGGCAGAGCTCTGCCACGTCAGGAAGGGTGGTGCCAGCGGAGGCCGATGAACTGCGGCTGGTCAGAGGGGCGGGTAGGCCGGTGGGCGGGTGGGTGCTCAGCGCTCAATGGCCAAAGAACGGGTGGATGCGCGAGCGGGAGGTGGTAGAGGGTAGAGGACACGAGCGTCGATATGGAGGCTGCGACTCGGAGGCGCGGTTGAAGTGCTAAGCGCCTCAGCCACGTCACGCTACTGACGCGCGCTTGCTACTTTCCTCGCACTTCACCACACGTCCGCCCCTGTCCGCCCTCGGCCTCAGCACTCTCACCGCAATCTCTTACCTTCGCCGCATCGCCTTCTTGCCGCCTACCTCGAGAGCAAGCGTGCGAGTCCGTCCGTAAGAGACGTCGGCACGCGAATCGACGCGCCACGCACCCCACAAGCCGAGCATGGCCCAACAGCCGTAACTAATACCCCAGCGATGCGCAAAGAACACCGTGACCAGGGGGCGAAGGATGGGCAGGAAGGAAGGAAAAGATGAGTACATCGTCCTCATCTCACCCAGAGCCTCCGATGTTTGGCGCGCCGCCCATGCTCTACGATCCCGCGCAGTCAGCGCAGCAGCAGGACCAGCGTGGCATGTCGGACTACGACGTGTGGGCTGAGAGCTTCGGCGCCCAAGGCGGGCAGTACGCAGAGGTCGGTGCTACTGGCTACGCCCAGGCGGACAGCGTGTCCCATCTCGAGTACGGGCAGCAGCGCCGGGCATGTCCTGCAGTCGTCGCGGCGTGGCGGCTACGCGAGCGTGACGCCGCCGAATATGTCGTCTATGCCCGACGGCACGTCTTTCTCTCAGCAGCAGCAGCAGCTACGTCTCAACTTTCCCCAGCAGGACTCACTTGCAGCCGTCGCAGGCGCAGCCCTAGGCTCCCGCGCGACAGGGCATGCAGACGAGATCGTCAGCGCAGTCGGTCCCGACCGCGGACACGATCCCTCAGCAGCGCTGCTAGTTTGCAGAGTACCGCCATCTGGACCAGCTAGGCACGCCCGCGCCTGTGCCGTCGTCGTACATCGCAACAGGCAGCACGCCGACGAGCGACATTAACAACTTATCGTTGTCGCCCGTTTTGTGAGGTGCAGACCAGAGCCCAGGTGAGTACACTGCGACACAGACGCAGAGCATGACGCGCAAGCAGAGGAGTACGACGAAGCTGGTGAGCCAGAAGACGCGTGAGCACAACGGACGTGCTGAGCAAGTGCCGGAGCATTAGTACGTATGGTGGGCAACTGTAGTACCTGTTGAACCGTCTATAGTGTCTATAGTAACGGAGATATATTTTTGTTAAACATATGATGACATCTGAAGTAACTGAGAGTCTGATGCATTCTGACCACTCTGGACCACTCTGGACCACTCTGATGTTCTCTGACAATCTCTGATGCTCTCTGAAAATCCTGTCTGACAACAACAATTCACAAAAAGTTAACACCTTGAGAACTGGCCGGATGAGCCATTCTGATGCAATCTGAAGCGTTCTGAGCGCTTATGAAGCCCCTGACAGGGCCCTCAGAGGAATTGCACGAAATCCTGATGTTCAAACGCTTGAGCACTTTCTTGATTGCCTCGGCCCGCGTCTTCAACGCCTTAGAAATCTTCTCGCGCAACTTATAACCTGCGGATTTTGGTCATATATCTGTACATGCGCAGAAAGGAATGTGGGCGTTACCGGTACCGCTCATTCCGGCCTTTGTCAGTTCGAACAATCGCTGGACGATAAGGCGTTCGAGTTCATCAAGTGAGCATTGATACTCGCGCAGGGTCCAGAGCTGGGACACTTCTTGATACTCAGTGCTGCCAGGTAACCACCGCTCGGCAATCTGCAATTCCCGCTCGTATGCCCGACAGTCATCGTCGGAGGCGAAGTAACGATTGGCGGCTCTTGTACGATTCCCTCGAAAACGCGCGACTTCTTTCGTGGTATACCCGGAGATGTTCGCCTCGACCTTGTGTAGCTCGTTGTTGGCAGTGACCAGCTTTGAGCTAATCGACCGTCAGATGTGTATCGCTCATGATTGGCCAACATACCTTGCTTCCTCTAAGCGATGCAGCGCAGCAAGGTATTCAAGCTTCCGAGTGACTTCAGGTGGCTCGTTCTTGCGGCTATGTATGTACTCCCTCTCCTGCTTCAGATACTCCTCGAAATCCGCAGGGCTGACCCTCAGCTCCGCAGATAGAGACGCCAAGACTTCACCGTCGTCGGTGATGATGTTGAGCGCCTGTCGGTAATTGTGGTAGATGAACGTGCCTGAAGTACATCGCATCAGCATCAAGCCTACTTGATTAGGAGTTGTTGATGTACCTGAATCGAGATGCTTATCTTCGCCCCAGAAATAGAAGAACTCCTCAATTGTGTTAGAGTTCGTGGGCCTGGAACCCTAGACTCGGGGGCCGGGCTGCCTGTGAACTCGACGCTTGGTGGTCGCGGCGCGACCGGGAAGGTGTCGTAGTGTCGTCGTGAGGTCGTGAGCGAGGCGAGGAGCTCCCGCTGGCGTCGTAGCAGAGCGAGGAGCGCTGCTGTCGTCGTAGCAGGGCGAGGAGCCGTGCCTAGAGGTGAGTCCTAGAACTGGCGAGGAGCCAGGTCGAGGGGGAGTCCTAGGCGAGGCGAGGAGCTCAAGCCGAGAGGGGATGCTGAACGTACTCGGACGGCGCGGTGTCGCACACGGACGAGGTGGTGGTTCAGCAGTAAGAATGGATCACTTCCCAAAATGGAAGTCAAGTGGCTAGGTACATGGAGATAAGATGAGATGTACACTATCAGTTCATAATCTAATCTAATCAGTGGGCATAGTGATGCCCACCCATAACAGTGCCCCCCATTATGAAGTGCATAGTGTGAAGGTGAGGGGTCAGATTAGAGCAAATGAAGAGTACGAGTGAGCATAGAATAGAAGGTGAGAAAAGAACAAGAGAATAGAAAGAAAAAAAAAAATTTGGGCTCCGCCACGCGAGGCTGAGCTGTCCCGCAAGTACCGCATCCCGAGCATTCAGACTTGCCGTGCATCCGCCAAAGCATACAGGCTCTGTCGGTCAAGCCCTCACAAGCTCGGCCAGGCTCCACTGACCTCCCTCGCCTGTAGCAGCTTTGCCATCTTCCCTAGGCAAGGCTGTGCTACTTCCTGCTTGTACTGCGTCCCTAGCTGTCATCCTCGCGGAGGATCTGCGCATCCCTCGGGCTAGGGTCGGCTAGGCCCTGGCATACCTGCCCCCCGTACCCTATCCTCCCCTACCCCCAGCCCCCCAATCTCAAGTTGGAAGGAACCGAGTAAGGGAGTTTCGGCTCGAGATTCCAATGAGAAAGGTGGTGAGGATAGAGGAGCAAAGTCGAGGGTGGGTGGGCTGGGACAAGACAAAGGTGTCGGGAATGATGCCCCCCAGGGTTCAGACAAGGCGTGGAGCAAGGCGAGCACGGGCTCGAGCTTCCCAGATTTCGCGCCGTAGGGCAGCTTCCTCATTTGCAATGGCCGCTGACTCGGGAGAGTCCTCTGTGACGAGGCGCGAACACGTGCGGACCTGCCAAATCCTGCGCCTGAGTTCCTCGTCTAACCCAGCTAAGTCTGGCTCCTCCTTGCGGGACGGAGGGACGGACGCGAGTGAGTCGGGCGGATGGCTAAGGCGCGGCGTAGACACAAGCACCGGTCTGCAAGACGAGGCAGACGAGGGGAGGCTACCGGGCAAGCGGTGATCTCGCACAGCCCGGCAGCCATCCCGTAAGTTGTCCGAGCTTGACGTCTTGCGTGCAGTCGAGAGACTGGGGCGAGAAGCGGCGGCCAGACACGCAGAGTCGGGGGAGGCGCGAGCGTCGAGGGGCGCGGCGGTGGGAGTGGTGTGCTTGCCGAGCGTGCCGTCCGCGTGCCGGTGCGGTGCTTGACACATTGGTGGACCGTCGTGTTCGCGCGGCGCAGATGCGGGTACGCCGAACGAGGGAGACGCGAGACGGCGGTGATCGCGCTCGACAGACGCGAGCGCAGCCTGTTCGAAAGGGCGCGAGGGCGGCCGCGAGTCGGGCGAGTGACGAGGGAGCAACACAGAGGCGGATGCCGGCTTGCGAGACGACGGAGGGTCGGACGCGTCGAGAAGGAGTGCGTTCGCGCGAGCCGGTCCGTCTGCGCGCGATGAACTGGCAGGTGAGGAGAGGCTACCGGGCGCGCGGTGATCTCGCACAGTCCGGCGGCCTCCCCGTATGTCGTCCGAGCTTGAAGTTTCGCGGGTGGTCAAGGGACTGGGGCGAGAAACTGCGGCAGGACGCGCAGAGTCGTGCGCGCCGTTCGCGTGCGGGCGCGCGGCTTGCCGTACTGGCTGGTTGACGTGTCGGCGGGGTGCGGACGCACGCACATCGGACGAAGGCGAGGGCGCGCCGGCGCGAGGACTGCGCGCCGGTTGGATCGCGTCGGCAGGTGGGGCGCGCGCGCGGTGCGCTGGAGGAGCGGGCGACGGCGGAGGGCGGCAGGTGCGATCGACGGGGACGTGCTGGCCGTGCGAGGGCGGACGCGTAGGGCGTATGCGAGGAGACGGAGGTGAAGGATGCGGGACTGGGGTACTCACCGTGACTGTGCTGTCTCGTACTCCCGCCGGTCCAACTTCTCTCCCCGTTGCGGATGCGCGAGGGAGCCCCCCAGACGAACGCGTCGGGGCAGCTTGCGCAACGGGTGCGCGCTCCGTTGAGTACCTCCCCTGGCGTGCCCTCCGCGCTGCTTCCGCGGTTTGTCTCTCACGCTCGTGGTGCGCGCGTACGACGATTCGCGCACGCGAGCGCGGTGAGAGAGCATCGGCGGCGGGCGGAAGCTCGGGCGGGGGTTCGTCGAACGGGCAGGGGCGAGCCGGCTGGTCGTTGCGTTGCGCGAGTGCGCATGCTTGTTCCTCGCGTCGCGCGGCGGCCTGGGCCTGGGCTTCGAAGAAAGCGTGGACGGCGGCTCGCCCCCGCGAGCGCGGCGAAAGAGCGCGAGAGGGTGGACGGCAGGGCGATGGGGCGTGAGCCCATTCAGCGGAAACACCTGTCATCATGGGCTGGCCAATGCCTGCAAATAGCCCATGGTATAGGCGGGCCGACGTTGGCCGATTGTGCCCAATTTGCCTGTCATATTAAGCGGGCGGCGGGTCGGCGCCGCCCATCGGCATGTGTCTCGGCCGAGGATGTAACGACCAACAGTAGGTAGGGCCGCTTGTCATTGCCGGTTTTAAATGCATTGGCCAGCCGACCGTCGGCTGAGATGTCTGTATAGCCGGTTGGTCTGAAATGAGATGGGTGGACGGATGGTTGGTGGGGCCGATGCTCATGGGCTTGGCCGGCTCGGGACGGGCTATGGTAGCGGTGGTGCTTATGCGCACTGAGCCTGTATGGATTGGCCAGCCGATGCCCGGCTGATGCGTCAGGTGGGCGTCTAGTTGACGAGAGACAGGTGGGCGCAGGGTTGGCCTGACCTATGGGCTTGGGCTCGGCCGGGCATAGTAGGAGTGATACCGTGGCGGGTCTGAAATGACATAGGCGGGTGCAGGGTTGGCCTGACCTATGGGCTTGGCCTCGGCCAGGCGGGTGTGGAGCCATGGGAGGGAGCCCCGTTTGATAGTGCGATCCATTGGCCAGCAGACGATCGGTTGGGAGGCTTCCGGTGTCAAGACCTGCCAAAAAGGATGGGCGGGCGCAGAGTCGGTGTAGCCGACGACCAAACGTTAGGCCCAGGTTCTGGGGGTGAATCTGTGTAGCATGATGCCTCAGCGGATGTCCGTTGGCCAGTCATCTGTGCCATTCACCTCACATCTTGCTGACACGACTGGCCAGTGGACATCCGCTATCTTGCGTCCTGTCATCACACTGGGCCCATCACCCTTCGGTGGCCGTCCAAGGAAGTCCCATGTATGTCGTCTCTTCTCCATGGAGAGCAGTCTCGCCTTTTAAGTATGGTATCTCGTCTTTTGGTACCAGAGGTCCACTCTTCGAGACACCGTCCCGTCTTTTACAGATGGACGTCCAGTTTAGAGGCGGTATGGAACTCAATGGTACATTTCAAGCATTTCGCTTATACCCCCGGATGCATCGACATGCACTGCATCAGCCTCGTCATTAGGTACCTCCGTCTCTTCCCGCTGCAGTGCCCGCTTTGGAGGCCACCGTCTCTACCACTGGGCATGAACAGACGACTTTTCAACAGACGGTGAAGGATTCATCTCCAATGGCAGGCGTCGTTTGCTGGTTAATATGTTCTGCCGGTACAGTGCCGGTGTGTTAGGCAACCAATTCATCCGAGTCCGTCTGAGCATCTTTGGAGCCGTCTGTGTTACGTGATAAGTCAGGCAATCCCATCATGGCTGCACACCTGATGTCAGGTGCACCCATTGTATTGGTACGGCCAATATCGGCTGGCCCTATTACATTGGCACGGCCGATCTCGGCTGGCCCCATTGTATGAGCACAGCCGATATTGCTTGGCCCCATCGCATTCGCACAGACGATATCGGTTCAGCCCATCGCATTTTGCGGCTATGCCAGCTCAGGGAGCCAAGGTTTCAATGACGAGATTAGGCCCCACCCGTTCGAAAAGCGCATGGGCAGAGTCCGGCCGGTTTGAGGTGCGAGCCGCTTTAAAGACTTCGACAGTACGGAAGCACAGTCCGACTAATGAAACGGAAGAGGTGGGCTTGGCAATTTCTTGCGTCGCACAATGTACATTTATTTCTATCGTCTGCAAATATCGTGCAAAGGACTGCCCCATTTGCTTCGTTGCAAACCCGCCTGCACCTCAAGACGCCATCCACCGTCCGCTGCAAACGAGTCGCTCAGACCCAAACACGTCCTTCTAAATCTCACTGAACGGTGCATTCCCCTTCAACTGTCCAAGTGCCTGCATGTTCAGTACCGATGAACGGAAAACATATCGGCTCTCGATATGTTCCCGTTCATCGGCGTCGATTATGAAGACATGTGGGCAATTGACGCTGCTACAGCCCTGAAGAGGGCAACACATCGTTCCAAATCTCCCTGAACAGTGCATTCCCCTTCAACTGTCCAAGTGCCTGCATGTTCAATACCGAGGTAGGGAAAACATATCGGCTCTCGAGATGTTCCCCTTCCTCGGCATAGAATGTGAAGACGCATGGCCAGCTACAGTCCTGGAGAGGGCAACACGTCGTTCCAAATCTCCCTGAACGGTGCATTCCCCTTCAACTGTCCAAGTGCCTGCACGTTCTATACCGAGAAAGGGAAAACGTTCCCATTTCTCGGCATAGAATGTGAAGACGCATGGCCAGCTACAGCCCTGGAGAGGGCAACACGTCGTTCCAAATCTCCCTGAACGGTGCTTTCACCTTCAACTGTCCAAGTGCCTGCATGTTCAGTACCGAGATATGGAAAACATATCGAGAGATCGACTCTCAATATGTTCCCATATCTCGGTATTGAATGTGAAGACGGATGGCCAGCTACAGCCCTGGAGAGGGAGCGGGGAAAGAGACGGCACACAAGGCATGTCGTTCGCAAATCTGTCGGCCCTTCTTATATACGCGAGACGATCCTCGCCTTTGTAAGCCTTTCTATATATACGCGAGGCGATCCTCGCCTTTGTAAGCCTTTCTATATATACGCGAGGCCAACCTCGCCTTTGTAAGCCTTTCTATATTTACCCGAGGCCAACCTCGCCTTTGTAAGCCTTTCTATATTTACCCGAGGCCAACCTCGCCTTTGTAAGCCATTCCATACATTGGACATTCTATAACCTTCGGCGACATAGGATGTAAATGAAGCTCTTGTTGGGTTCCGCTTGTAGGTGGCCCGCTCGTTGCTGGTCTCCCCGTTGCTGGCACGCTTGTTGCTGGCCCGCTCATTGCTGGTCCGCTTGTTGGCAGTCCGCGTGTTTCTGGTGCGCCGGTCCGCCATCTACATGGCGACTTGAGAGATCAAAGCAGCGTAAAGACCAGGCCACAGACTTTCGCTTCTTCACCTTTTGCTTCTTGACAGAACACATCAGGCGGGTTGCTCGGGTTGCATCTCGATGCCGTCACTGACGTGCAGAGAAGCTGAGGCTATTATGGTAATGGGTCTGCCATTGTACGGTCAAATTTATCTCAGTTTCAATTGCCTTGGGGCGGCACAAACCTTATGTACATGCATCTCAACAACGAACAACCAACCCACCATGTGCGACCGCGACTTCTACGTTTGGCACGACAACCTTTGCGTGCTGCTCCAACTGCTCAAATTGTCAGTTGAAGCCATTCAGCCCTGGTTCAAGGGCTTTGACGAAGTGGAGGAAAATGATATGTAGGCGGTTCTATTGACTTGCATGCACAAACTGACATATCACTACAGCCTTGACCATAGGGTCATGCTCGTACATATGGTGGGCCAGCACGTGCTCCGAAAGGAAGTCATCACGAAGGACGGCAAGCGCCGCACGTGGACCCTCTACGCCCAGGCCTCTCCCGTCCAAGATGAATATGTCTTGCGTTGGCTTGTCGCCCTCGTGAACGACAATAAGTCTCAGCATGCCGATCCATCTGGAGACGAAAGGCTTGCCAGTGGCTCCATCCAGTGGCTTAGCGACCTCGTCAATGAAAATGACGACGAAGACGGTGCCAGCCGCAGTGAGGACGGTGAAGGCAATGCCAGCGGTAGTGAGGGCTGCGGCTACGAAGCCTACGATGCTGGCAGCGGCTGGGATGCGGACATGGAAGAGGCGGAGATGGAGGAGCTGGAGATGGAAGAGGCGTGAACCGAAAAGGCGGAGACGGCATGCATCACTGCGGTTGCGGCCACGGAAAAGACGGAGGCGGAGCGCGTCCATGGGGGCACGCTCTGAGTTGGCACAGTATCATTTGGTTTATATTCATTCATTTCTTGGGGAATAAATGCGGTGGCTCCTCCGCTTTTATATAGGCGGTCAAAAGACGCAGGCGAGAGGCCCTTGGCTTGGTCATTCCATTCAGCCGGTCCTTGCAAGCCATTCACGTGGTCACCCCCAATGCTCAAATGGATGTCAGCCGACTGATGCTCATGCGCCCACATGGGGCGGTCACATCATTCCGCCTCTTGTTCACGCGTGGCCTGGACGACGCTTGACTGCCTCATGATCATTGGAAGCGGTCTGCCACGGGCTAGATTGACCAAATCTGATTGCACATGGGCACAGCATGGGCACCGCATGGGCACCGCATGGCCTTTGCCGAATGCCTGCGATCCCTATTAAATGTGCCTCAAATGAAGATTTCAACCTCGTCTCGACAGTCATGTCACGACGCGGTGCAAAATGGGTGCCGTTGGGCTCAACGCAGAGGCCAACGGTGATGCACATGGCTGTCAAAAAGACGAAGACCGGAACAAGGCACAAGATGGTTCCAGTCCGGGATGCCCCGAGCGCTGTGCATCCCCCTGCAGGTGCATCCAGGGCAACAGCAGCCGCAGAGATTTCGGACCTAGGGAATGACCAGCCCATGCCTGACTTGGGGGAGATTATTCAGTTGGGGCCAGAGAGCCGGCGAAAGACGAAGGCATCTGGAATGGTGAGTGGCTGGGATGGCTGAAGCAGTTGCTGATGCCAGTGCAGACTCAGGCCGACTTTATCCGACAATGGTTGCCAGTCCGTGACCAGGTGCTTGCCCGCCTGCTCGAACTGGAAGGGCCGCAAGATAGACGAAGATGTGTCATGTGCAGCCAGGAGTGGAGTCCATGGAGATGCGTGGACTGCGTGGGCCGGCCAAGCCTGTGCACCGATTGCTGTCTGAGTCGGCACAGTGCCGAATATCTTCACCACCTGGAGCGGTGGGAACCGAGGGAGAGACGAACGGTCCCAACAGGCCCGCCTCCAGTTTGCGCCGAAATCATAGAAGCGGATAGTGAAGAGGCGCCGTCAGAAGAAGCGGAAGACTGGGTCGATGAACCAGAATTTGGGGCCGGACAGGGAGGCGACCCATCAATGGAAGGTTAGACGGAAGTCTCTCGTCTTATTGACGATGACGTCTCTCATTGCCAGGACAGGTTATTTCAAGGCCAGCTCACTACTTGCCGCTGGTCTGCGCATCAACCTTGGGCATGGGAACTGGCGGTGTCCAATTGAAGATGATGCTTCGCTGCGGAAGCTGACGGTGGTTGATATCACTGGCGTCCATTCAGTCTGCGCCGCCATGTGCAAATGCCAAGGGGCGGATCCGGAGGCCTTCCAGCTGCTCTCGATGGGTCTATATCCTGGATCTTTCATCCGCCCTCGAACTTGCTTCACGTTCCGCGTCTTGGACGATTTCCTGCTGGCCAACAAAGTTTCTGGAATGGCAGCTCAGAGCTACTTCGAACGGTTGCGTCGCCTATCCAATGCCGCCTTTCCTCAGCGAGTGCCGGTTCGTCGTCCATCATCCTACGAGGCAGCAGTCTGACACCTCCCAGGATCGCTATTGCGAGCTTCTCCGCTGCAGCCGACAGTGGCGCAATCTCAAATATCGCAAATGGCGTGGGTATGGGCATACAGAAGAAGAACTTGGACCGGGAAGACTGGCACTGAGCTGCGTAGCCTGCCCTCACCCCGGCGTCAATCTCGAAGCAGACTGGGAAAGAGACGTTGATTCGTGAGTGGCGATCTCGAAGAAGCGGCTAGAGCCTTAATGCCACCGTGCAGCTGGAAGCATATGGCGTCGTTTGTCATGGACGGCAATTTCAGCGCGGAGCATTTGAAGATGCGTCGACCAGCGGACGACATCCCACTCGCGGATGGGCAAGGGTTTATGGTCACCGATGGGCGGTATAAGGAGCACCTCAAAGCGGCGGTGGACGTGCGCGAGGTGAGCTGCCATTGCACAGCCGTATCCTGGGTGCTGACTGCAATTAGAAATCAAACTGCCACGCTCACCGAGCCGTCAATCAGGCAAACGCCGATCGCCACGATATGGAAGCTACGGGCATTGGCGCCGTCGCCTGTGGAAGACACGGCTGTTTCATCCCGCATTCCGTAGTCGATTTTCAGAAAGGCGAAAGGTGATGATTGAAGCCCGTCTCAGGCGCCAGGAATTCATTTCTCGCCAGGCAGATGAATATGGACTACACTTCAGGCACCCCCTTCTGGGACCTACTTAGCCCCATCCTTCTGACCGCTAGAATGTGGCTTACAAGCCTTATTGGGCTGGTCCTACCAGACATCTGGGACATGGCCATGGTCTCAAGGGTGGTCCTTCCCATTTTGGGACCTGTTCTGGGCTTGGGAATGTGGGCTATCCCTCTGTCATGCTCCTACATAGACCATTCCCCTTGTGCTCCCTGTGGGACGTGCAGCATGTCCCATGTCCCAGTCACAGGTCACATGGTGCCAGGGGGTCAGTAGCTCAGTGGGACATCCCATGTAGGCACAGTATGTGTTTCTATTATGCTACATTGTCTGGAGCTCTTCATCAGTAAATCTCCAAGTCCATGCACACCAGCAATAATCCTGGTACAGACCTCATTGTATGCATGTGAACTTCAAATGCCATCACTGCTGCATGCACTCAGTTACAGCAACCAAAATGTGGTAATATAAGCCTGCAAAGCCATGGGGAGCCCTCTGTAAGCTATAGCCTGCAATTCAACCTATTAAAATCTGCTGTACCAATGCAACACAAGTGACCTGGCATACTTGGAATGATGCCATCCCATGTTGTTACATCTGAGCATCTATTTGACTGTATATAGGAGACTTTTACTTTGAAGTCCAAAGATGTCACACAATGGTTAGAACAGACAAGAGGATAGATTGCACAGCTCTGTATGAGCTGCACATATACATGCAACGAACAATACCAGACTGTAGACAATCTAATACATCACTCTGCACACCAAGTCAGTGGTATGGGTTGGTTGTCATCAGCGCATAAATGTGATTTGTGTACTACTCCAACATATTGATGTCAATCTGAGATTATATTGACTTGAAGTGAACCCTGTAGCAGCAGCAACATGTAATCTGGTATTAGACTATGCCCAGAGTAAAATCAGTGTGTAACTTATGGATCATGACATTGCAATGCATCAGCTATGATATGTGAGCAGCAAGGCATATTCATATCACTCACTACAATACCCATTCTTTGGATTCTAGTTGTTCGTGGTCCATGAAATTTAATAGTTCATGACTTCATGTGATAGTAAGTCAAATCACTATATCAGTGGTCAGCTAGAGGAGTCAAATAAGTCCATGACATGCTGATCACATGGAGGTAAAAGGTTCCAATATATTGAGCCTTGATCATTTCATGCCATACAGTGGTTTACAATGATCATCCCATATTTGCATGGGCTTCCCATACTATATCAACACAGGTCTTCCCATACCATACATTGGTCTGTATTGGTCTTCCCATGTACTCATGGACTTCCCATACTATATTGACACAGGTCCTCCCATATACTCATGGACTTCCCATATTGATCAACACAGGACCTCCCATACCATACATTGGTCTGTATTGGTCTTCCCATGTACTCATGGACTTCCCATACTATATTGACACAGGTCCTCCCATATACTCATGGACTTCCCATTTGATCAACACAGGACCTCCCATACCATACATTGGTCTGTATTGGTCTTCCCATGTACTCATGGACTTCCCATACTATATTGACACAGGTCCTCCCATATACTCATGGACTTCCCATTTGATCAACACAGGACCTCCCATACCATACATTGGTCTGTATTGGTCTTCCCATGTACTCATGGACTTCCCATACTATATTGACACAGGTCCTCCCATATACTCATGGACTTCCCATTTGATCAACACAGGACCTCCCATACCATACATTGGTCTGTATTGGTCTTCCCATGTACTCATGGACTTCCCATACTATATTGACACAGGTCTTCCCATGTACTCATGGGCTTACTTCAGGACTTCAATTGCTTTCAAGCTGTTAAGGCTCACTACATTACTCAAACACTAACATCAGGTACAGTCAGGAATTCTAGCTCCTCAGTAATAGGCATCCTGTGCTTCATCTGGATCAGCATACTCGTACTCCTCTTCAGCACCATAACGGGTATAATCTTTGCGCCCACTACTGCGACTTGGTCCTGCAACAGGCCCACCATAACTTGATACCTGCTCCTGCCGGTGTCTCGATGGGCCAGCAGCATGCATATTCTCATACCTTAGTGTTGCTGTAATTGGACCAGGGGGTCGAGCTTCCCATTGAATCATCAGGACGGTGTCACACACCAAAAGACTATAAAATACGTCACTCACGTGCTGGCCTAAGACTGGAAGGACGACTGGAAGGACGGCTCCCCTGCCTGCTTGTACTGCCGTGGTAATTCTCTGTGTGTACAGCTGAACGAGGGTCATGGTCCCAGTGTGGTGCATGTGCCTGACTCAGATGTGGACCAGCCAGTGCACCACGGTCCGGAGGAATTCGCGGATGCGAGGGAGCCTGGACAAGTCCACGATCACTATACTGCGACACACGATATGCGTCTATGCCGTGGCCGTGGTCAGACTACCAACAATTGACCTGCTGCAGAGCATATTGACATACCAGAACGCGACATGTCACGGTGTGAACGCGCGCCATCAATGGACCGACTATACGTCACTTCTGCATTCCGTCCAGGATCCCCGATGTCTTCTTCAGTAGCATCCGGTATGGGGGATAGATAGTGACGTCTTGGCTCTGCAGTGCGACGGGGGTAGTAATCCTCGTTGCCTCGCGTGGTGACATCTTGACGAGTCATTTTGATCCCGTCACGGCCACGGTGGCGATACCTAACGTTTTCGTCACTGTCATCACCATGTCCTTGCAGCGCCGCACCCTTGGTAAGAGACTTCGGAGGCAAGCGATCTTCATTGCGGTGGGCGCCTGGAATACGAGTGTCCGTCTGAACGCTATGTCCGGAGCGGCTGGGAGAACGCCCTTGTGGCGATGTATGTGGCCGGCGACGTTTCGGTGGCGACGCGCGAGGTGACAACGGAGGTGTGTGCTCCATAACATCAGGGCTCTCCTCATCGGCATCGACGTCGATGACCTCGGGAGATCGGCCCCGTCGCCGAGGCTTGGGCCTGCCAGACAGCCGTGATGAGGCTTGAATGAGCGGTGCTACAGGGTTCGCACTTTCGCGACCACTGCCAGGGACTCGGCGCTGCGAAGACTTTGATTTGCCTGGGCGGGAAGCTTTGGTGTACTCCGAGGAGTCGCGTAGGGTTCGCAAGTTCCAGCCCGAAGTGTCGCGGACAAGCGGGATCAGCGCCACTTGCTCTGGATCACCGGTCTTCAATAAATCCTTGTCCTCTACAGTCCGCGATCATTGGGAGGTCAGTAACGGCATGTTGTGTGAATAATAAAGGACTTACGTGACGGCCATTCCACAACTGTTGGATACCGAGTGGCTGTTCCGTTCTTGCGGTTAACGTAGGGCTCGCAAAGCTGGCGGAGCTCTTCCTGGCTCAGGCGCTTCACGTCAAAACCAGGACCAGGAGGCGGAACTCCTTCGGCCCAGTTGTCGATCCGTATTTGCTTCTTATATGCGAAGTTACACCAATTCTCCCACGGCATCTTCGTGGCCGTTTCATCAAGCTCCTCTGCATAAAGTTAATATCACAGCTACAAGCAAGAACATACGACTTACGGAGCTGAAACATCAAGACTTGCCCTATCATCTGGCGATAGAAATCCCGGGGACCTTGCCCCACCCTCGGCTTTGTCCGAACACCGTTGGCATCCTCCGAGCCGATATTCAAGCTCCAGCCATCACTCGTGAGCTCACCGCGTCTATCATAGTGCATTAGTACTATAGTAGACGCATACTACACTCGTAATGTATGACGTACTTGAATGCCGTTGTGAGCATGTCGAGTATCTTGCGCACGTTGATGTTGTTGTCCTGGATGAGCTGACGAACATTGTCCGAGCTCCCAAATAGGGCCGACATTTGGATAGCCGCGGGATCGGAGCCAGTGTAAACAATCGCGCCGACGACTTCCACGTCCTCAAGATTGCAATACGAAGCAGCCTTGCGAGCTGTGTCAGTAATCAATGACCAGACATGGGGCTGCATATGACGCACAATGGCAGTAAGCTGGTCGCGCCAGGCCTTCATACGCGAGGTAATGGACCGTGTCGAACGGGGCTCTGCAAGCTTCTCCTTCTCGTTCTCCTCGCACCATGCCACTATGGGCTTCATCACAAGAGCGTGGCTGATTTCGTCCGAGGACTCAATGTCCGCAAACAACTCTTTGTATGCGCGATTCGACTTTTGACGGTACTCCTCAGCGGACACTGTACGAACAACGTCAGAGCCTGCAGAACAATACATGGAGGTTAAGATACTCACTGCCTTCGGGTTTGGGATGGTGTGCTTTGTACCACTTCCTGTACATGTTTGCGGAGTTGGGCCCACGAGAACCCTTGACTCCTAACCCTGCTGCTACTAGAATCTCACGTCGCGGTTTGCCATACTTTCGTGCGAGCTCCTCGGCTTCCTCGATAATACGTGTGCCAAAATCACTGATCTCCGCCTTCGCAGAATCAGACAGCGGACCAGGCTTGTTCTGCGGTGGCGGCGGCTGCTCGGCCCAGTCTTCGAGCGGTGGAGAGTCTGCGTTACTCGGTTGATAGGCATCGGCGCGACCCTTTCCTTTGTCTCGCGCTGACAGCACTGGAACCGGTGCTCCTGCGGGCTGGATGCGACGTCGCTCAGGCTGCGGATGGATCATCTCGTCAGCGACGAGATCGTTTTGCATCTCAGCGTCGAGCTCCTCGTCCTCCTCCGACGTGTCAACGGTCTGACGAATGGCTCTCGCCTCGCGTTTCTTCCTCTCCCTGATAGTCGCGGAATAGTCACTTCCAGAGCCATCCGACTCACTCGCTGCTCATCAGATGTCAACACTTACGCGACAGCTGCTACGGGAAGAAGACTCACGGATATCCCTTTCCTCAGCTTCAGCACCATTCCCTCTGTCTTCTTCTTCATCACCCGGTTCGTCCTCTCCATCGTGCCCACCAACGTTGTCACTAGGACCAAACAGTTCGTCGCCGTCAAAGTGGTCCCCGTCATACTCCCGACTGGCGACCCGGTCCTGACCGACTCTCGAGGAACTGGAATGTAGAGCAGTCCCAGTTTGGGTTCGAATAGTACGTGGGGCGTCATCGGAGCTGTACGTGCTGTCGCGAGTGATTCTCGAGGAATTTGACCGTCGAGCAATCCTGGTTGGAATAAGGGCAGTGTCGTCGGAGCTGTGGCTGCGGTCGTGGTCAGGGTCATTGAGCGAGGTCGGTGCAATCGTGCGCGTCCCTGCAACCGAGGATGTCTTCGGGTTTGTTTCATCCGCAGGGTCAGGACTTGCCAGCGTCCCTAGTACTACTCTCTGTCCGGACAGGGCAGCACGATATGAGGGCTGAGGAACATCGACATAGGGAACGAGCCTGCGGCGAGGTTGTGTCTTCGGTGTGAAGACTCAATAGTCAGCAAAAGATGATAGGTTGACACATCGCGTCTCGGCTTACCTTTGTAGCCAGAGTGCCCTCACGCTCGTCATCCTCCTCCTCTCGTGCACTGTCCGACGCATCACGCTCATGGTCACGTCGATCCCGTTCATCACGCCCGGCCCATCCAGCGCGTGCATGTTGTTCGCCCTGTCCATCTTGCAGATTGTGCAAGTCGCGTTCCTCGCGTCTGTTCTGCTGAACACTTTCCTCACGTTCGTCCCGCTGATCGCGTTCGTCCCGCTGATTGCGTTCATCGTGTTCGTCCCGCTGACCGTACGAGCCGCGTCCATCACGGATGTCTCGCTGACCACGCGAGTCGTGGCCATGATCGCGCCTATCCTGCTGACTGTGACCGCGACCGTCCCACCGACCGCGACCGCGACCGTCCCGCTGACCGTGTTCTTCGCTTTCATCGCCACTGCCCTGTTGACTTGTTCTTCGTCCATCCCACTGACCACGCCCGTCGCGCTCACCGCGCCCGTTCTCCTCATCTCTGTCCTGCCTACTAGTGCGAGTGTCCTGCTCATCATGCCACTCCTGTTCAGCACGACCATCTCGGTTTCTGCGCACATCCCGCTCGTCACGATCACGGCGCTGCTCCACAGCAATAGCCGGTGTTCCTGGGTCAGGAACGTCATGACGAACCGACCGTGCCTGTCGACTACCTGAGGTGGCGTCAGATTGGGTCTCATTCTGGGCATCCTCCGCAATTTGCGACCTCCGAGACGTTGATGGTGTAAGCTATACAACAACGTCACTCAACTCAGCATGATCACGACGAGAAAGAACTTTATCTCACCTTGGGTTTTGCACCCGTTGCGTGCTCGGATGTAATCATTTGGCGATTGTCAGGAAAATCACCGCTCTGTTTCAACGATTATCACCGATGGTCTATAATATGGCTCGCCGAGCAGGTTTGGACTCATACCTTAGCAGTATGCGCGACTACACTCTCTTCTCTGGCGGCTGGCGTGGGCTGCGTCCGACGGTGATTCAACGTTGGGAATTCAGATAGTGTTCAATCACCTTACCTCGTCGTGCTCCTGTGCCCGTGTCCCATCACGGGACGTGCTCTCTACGTCTGCATCGCCTGCATCGCCTTCATGTTGAGAAGAGTTTGTCTGTTGGGTACCAGTGAGCACGGCAAGCATGGCGGCGGCTTCACATCAGACATACCGCACTTTGCGCTGATTTCCCTTTACCAGACACCCCAGTGTTGGTCCGCTTTGTTCCTGGATTCCGAGACGAAGCCATGGCACCAGTTGAATTGGATTCTGCCGGTTGTGCTGTCTTTGCGGACTTTTTGCTGGATGCCTGCTTCTGCACGGACTGGGACGAATGAGTGATCCAAATTGCGACGTGAAAGGCAGCCAAATTCACCTTCCCCTTCCCCGGTCGTCTACGCATGTTGCTATTACCAAGTTCGTCATCAGAATCGACATCGCGTTCAGCGCGGTTGGGGTCTCCACGGGCCAAAGCGGCATATGAAACGTCCTCGTCGGGCTTGCGGGGTACTTTGCGCACTCGACGAGTCGGAGCGTCGTGCTCCCCGGCGTCAGTGCTGCGCTGGCGCAATTCACTCATTGGAATGCTTTGAGAGCGTTAAGATGATGAGCGGAGGAGGTCCCGAGTCCGCGGCAGCGCGCGTTCATGTGGGCGGGAAAACGGAAGGGGTGTCGGGAGGGTGATACGATCCCGATCTCTTGGAACATTCGCTGACTGACGCGCGACCATGCTTCGGCGCGGCAATCGTGCAATGCGGGGTGGGGCGGTTAAACTTAGAGATAAATCGCAATGCCGTCAGCCTCACTGCGACAGGGAAGCAGAGTGCCTGGCCGATGGTTGCCCTTCACTCACATAGTCAGAATCTCCGCCTACGCTGGCAGCGTAGCAAGAGCAAGTCCCGCCGCTGTCCCCGCTGCCCGTGAACATGCAAAGGACCGTAAGGGACCGCCCACTTGTAGCCACACTAAAGGTGACCACATGGCTGCAAACAGGGGCAAAGCGCAGCCAGACGAGTCAGTGACGAAAGTAGAGATAGCGAAAATGTGCTTGCGTACCCCTGATTTGATTCATTTGTTGGCTAGCTGCTCCAGCTGACCGTGCCAAGTGTCATGAGCACGCCCGTCGGCCAATCGTGATGGTGAGATGGAGCGTACACTTGCACGGACTCGAATCACAACTTCAAGAGACTAGATTCCTGCTGCCGGTGCTTCAGAATCCGGAGTACTACGTGCAATGGTTGCTGAATGTCGGCCACAATGTATATGCTGGTATGGTATTCAGCATGGTGTGCGAGACGACGATACATGTGGATACATTACCATTCTGATGACCTACGCCATTGAGGATGTCGGCTGGGAAAGCGCGCTGCGTGTTCAGCCACGGACGTTCGAGTTTGTCATTGGCGAGCGATATCCGATATCGCACTGCAACGGTCAACGACGCTGAACTATGCGAACTTGTGGGCCTGAATGCACACCACGAACATAGCAGGAATCACTTTGGAAAGCCTGATATCAAGTCAGACTCCGAAGTTAAGCACTACCACTGGCAATAGGACACGACAAGTACTCACTAGACATGAACCCCCTAGTGGACATCGAGCAAGATCGCGTACAACGCTCGGCCAAGTTCGACAACGGGAGCAACAAGGAGCGGGACGTCGAGCAAATTGCGGTGCTAGTGGTTGGTTTTGTTTGGGACGTCCCATGTGTGGGACTTCCCAGGCCACCGTTGTCAGTACGTAAGGCGAACTCTATCACGCTCTAGCGAGCTTGAGGGCTCTGAGTTTGTTGTACTCGTGTCTGTGCATTAGCTGCATTGTAGGGGAAACATACAAAACTCAGCTCTCCGGACCATTCGATATCCCATAATTGTGCTCTGGCAGGCCACAGGGTACGTGGTCCGAGTTTACTAGTAACTAGTCTAAGCCACAGTCCTCCCGGCGTTCGTAACTCAAACGCGCACCGCGCATAAAGCGCAACCTCACGAAAGGGTCTTCGTCGGCCTGTTGTAGCTTCATGACAATGTGTCAGGATTCAGCAACGTACTGCACCTGAGTGCACATACAGACTAAGGGCGAACATTGTGCACAAACTGGGCGTCACACGCACAGCCCGAGCTATAGCGTGCATACCCGAGTCACAGTGTGATGCTTCATCCAGCTTATATTCACAGTTCAACTCCGGTTACATGTAGACAGTTACCCAGCTTATCCATAATGCATATGGCCGAGCCTCACTCGCAGGTTCAAGCTGAATGGTATGGCCTCAGTAGCGTCGCCCGTGGGCAGGAAATAGCTATAACAGACTATACATACAGCTAAAGATACACATAGCTCGCTCACTACTCAGCCCGGCATGTACAGTATGTCCGGCCCATACAGTGAAGCCGTGCGACAATGAAGCGATCGTGTCCGAGCGTTGTGTGCATATCACAAGGCGGCAGCACAGGACAGCGTCGCCAGCGCATCCACTCCAATGGAAAGATACCGCTAGTGAGTAACATCTACAAGCCATGCCCGCCATACCACTCATCAGCATGCTGAAGAGACACGAAAATCATGGACTTACAATCATAGCCGAAACCAGCTGCATCAGCTATCTCTGTCACATACTGCTGGACATACAGCACCGTGTCATGATGAACGCGCCGCGCGTGCGCATCGACGTACGGATCGTCACGCGTAGACCGACCGAACGGCAGAGCCCGTCGAACACGCGCAGCAGCGCCTTCGTCTGGTCCGTCGAGCCGTTCTCGTAGATCGACACGTACACGTTGTTGTAGCCGAGGATGGCCGCGACCCGGAAGAGCGTCGCGAACAGGTCCGGGATGATGTCGAACGAGTTGTAGAGGTTGATCGCGAAGAAGTATTTGTGCGTGTCGGGCGTCAGGCCCCGTTGCGTCGGCGGGATGTAGTCGCCCTCCACGCCTGACCCGAGCCCGAGCGTGTCGAGCCAGGACGAGCGGGTGGGCGACTCGTGTCCGATGAGCGACGCGTACCGCTCCTCCGCCTGCTCCTTGTACATTGGTTGCGTTTTCCGCGTGCACTCCCTGGTGTAGTGCGGGGAGAGCGAAGTGAGTAGCTCGAGCACCCGGAACCGCTGCTCGAGGGTCGGGAGGGTGATTGGTTGTCGAGCGCGGGATGGATGGTAGGCAGAGGGGGTGCGGCTTCCTCGCCAAGTTGCCGTTACTGACTGCTACAGATTAGACAGTCAGTATCATATATGTCGAACGGTAGGAATCGGTCGACAGAGTGTGTATGGGTCCTCGGAAGAGAGCCAGGCGAAGGCCAAACACCCTCCCGTTGGGTCTAGCAAACCGGAAGTAGCTGGGATCTCGATAACGTACTACTCGGCTTCAGGGGAGTCGCATGACCTGTCCACACTTCATAATCCGTGGGCAGGCTCCGGCAGAGCCATATATCTGTTCCGGTGTCACGATCAGTGGGCACAGTAGAGCGGGACCACAGTCTCAGCGGCGCGGATGCATATGCGTTGGCGACGGAAAGAAACGTGATGCCGAGGGGAGACAGGACGGGAGAGCGTGCAGACGAGGAGGAGGGTGCGATACGCGCACCATTAGAGTGGGCCCAGACGAAGGAGGGCTCGTATTCAGAGCCGGCACGAAATGCCCAGGTCATAGGAAAGGAGTGAGATATAAGGAGAGAGATATGAGAGTGAACATGCCGTACTAACTCACAAGTAGTAGGAGAGCGCGTCGTGTCTTCGCCAGCGTCGCGGCCAGCAAGCAAAGGTTCGTCAGTAGTAGACTAACCGGGACGGACGGTGACGCACCAATAGATGGCTCCTTTCGATCCACACGTATCCTATCTGCAGCCCTACACACTCAGCGGCTTCTGAATGTCGACCCGCCCAATGACTCGAGCGATGTGGCGGATGCCTGTGACAATATCTCCAGGTCAGGCGCGGTGAAAGATCTTTGCGAGGTGTCTTGCACTTACGATAGAGTGGTCGAGGCGCACTTTAGAGGCTGTATACGACCTAGAGGCGGCTTGAATATGTGTTGTATCTTCTCGCCTCGACACATTCAGCCAGGGAGCGCAGCGAGTGTCGTCAGGAGATAGCCCGGTCTACTGCTACCACAGAGAAGCCCTCTGGTCGTTCGTGGATGCGTCACCCGGCTCGAGGCCAACGCAGACATCAACACAGAACGGCTGAGGGAGCATTCATGGGAGCTGAGAGATAGTATAGTACGTAGTAAACAGGGCACGGGCGGGTAGCCGTCACCACAAGCGCCGGCGCGGTGGCGCGCGACTGCAGCGATGATATTCAACGTCTGGCGGAAAGCTGGATTGCCGAAGATATTTCTGTACGTATGTTGCGTTGATTCTATGCAAAGGATCTATATACAGAGTTTCGTCTCTTAATCGCTGACGCTGAGAGTTGGAGGAGTGCTAAGGCTACGCACTCACGCGTCACACTCCGTGACACAGGGTGACTGAATCACAGTCGCGTTACACTGCGCGTATTCGAGCGCAAGGCCCATCCCGTTGACCGCGCAAATCAAGGCCACTGTTGCGCTTCGCTACCGCCGCGCCAGCTGTAGTAAGTAGTTCAACCCATTGATACCTCGTTCTCATGGGGCATCGACTAATTGACTTATTTCTGTAGGAATATGCCAGTCCGAGGAAGGCGAAGCAATTCATCCTCGTCGACGGCTTCTCGCTCGAGGTCGTCCACGGCTTCTCGCTCGAGGTCGTCCACGGCCTCTCCACCCCCCAGTTCCTCTCCGTATTCCTCCCCTGACCGACTCTCGGCTCGTACGCCTCGATCACGTACCTCTCGAAGCCACTCGCAATCCACGTCTCTCCATCACGCAGATGCTATTGCGTCGTCTAGCTCGGTCTTACGCTCTGATGTCCGCCTGACAGGCAGGCCGACCTCTCTGGCACGCTGTGCCCCCTTGGCTACTCAAGACGTCGCCCGCGGCCGATCGCCAGTGCCTCGAGGAAATGTTGGGGGAGATGTACCTTCACAGGGGAATGTCATTCAGCTTCGCCCCGAGGATGTGCGACGATCACGGCGTAAGAATGGCAACAGCCGCGTTTACCTGTCGTCCTCACGAAACGTCGTACTGGCATTGCCCGGCGCACGGACATACACGCAAATGCAAAGCAGCCAGTCACGACCTCGGAAGACTCCTGATAGTCGTCCTCGCGAGGTTCCGATTCCACGTTCCTCAGCCTCGAATGACACCGCGCTGTCCAATAGCGCACGGAATTCACCTCCATGGAACGATCCAGATGATCTCATGTCCGAGATTATCGTCTCTGTGACCAATGCTTCGGAGCCGGAGGAAGAGCGCCGAGCACGAGCACATGCGAAGAGGGAACGCCAGGTGCAGCGCTGGGCCCACGAAGTCTTGCCCTCGCTGCTTCGCCCATACCTACGGCTGCTCCACGAATCTGCATCTTTGCGAACGATCGACCGGCGGAGCGCGGCGTTGTTGTCGTGTACGTGTTCAGGTGGGAGCCGCCGTTTGACACTGGTATGTGTCTACTTTGATCGTAAGTCTACAATATCATGTTGTCCATGGCATACTGATTAGGAGAGATACATCACAGATCTCGAGACCATTGAGCTGCGTATATGTGGCTGTTTGGGCGCCGCTCCGCAGCTCATAGCCCGCGGACTATTCCCGTGTGCCCCGCAGGCCCCGACTCTTGCTGTCGACATCTCCTTACTCCAATTCACGCGCGCGCTCTTTGTGCGACTTCCCCCGAACACGACGTCCTTTTGCGAGACATTAGAAGCGTTTTTGGAGGCCCGGAACTACAAGCTCAAATCCAGGGTAAGCTGCACGGCCCCAAAACTATTGTTCCTTCCCACCTGATCACGACTCGTTAGGAATCAATGCGTCGACGTTTCGGGAACGCTCTCCTATGGTACTCAAACTTATCCAACAATGTTGATCGCTTTGTGCGTGATCGCATTGAGATTGAGCGATCGCGTTTGATCGAAGCGGCGGCCGTTCAAGACACAATTGCAAATGAGAGGTTGGGTCTGCGTGATACTGGTATGTACCTCATGTGTCTCTCCCTTGAAAGGTCTCACTTACCCCACGGCGGCAGATCGAGTTCAAACGAGCGCGAGCGCACCACGTTCCATGCAAAATTCTCAGCTCAATGCGGGCGAGCAAGCGACAAGCTCCGATCCCTCTGCTCCTGCGGGAGAAACATGCAATACTCGTGGGCGTGCGAGCGAGTATCTGCGCGCGCGGTGCCCTCTGTGTTTTGGCTCGGAATATGTGCATCAGAAAGATGGGATGTAAGTAGTGCTGTCGTGATGTATGCCAATCTACAAACTAATGGAACACAGTCCAGACGTCATTGTGTGTCTCGACGCGTGCTTCACGCAGAAGCGCCGCAAAGGCAAGGCTGGTATGCGTGATCCGCCGCGTGCCCACCCCGACACGGTCTTCGTCCCGGAGGCAGATGTACGCACCATGGAGAGCTTTGTCGAGCAGACGCGACGGGGCGACGACCAAGGTGTGCCGGCTCCGACCGAGAGTCATGATCGCGTGGAGGGCGGCCTCAAGCTGCCCAATTCTGTTCTCGACGGATGTAACGAGTCGTTCACCGCGGCTGACGAGCGTCGCCAGAAAGCCAGCACGCAGTTCTTCGCAGACACGGGGCTCATGGCAATGCTCTGTCGCCATGATCGGGTTCTGTGGCTCGTCAATATGACCTCGGCTGGCGAGAAACAGCACTACGCGCTGGTCCTGGTACGACGCCTCTTCGATCACCTACCGTCACATGTCACCATTGGTCTCCTGTACGACATCGCTTGCCAACTGCATCGAAGCATCGTCAAATGGGATTTTCTCGGGTCGCTTGCTAGCCGACTCATGTATGCTCTCTCTGTCTTCCACGCCTTTGGACACCAGTGGCCGTGCCAATTGGTCTACCACCCTCGCAAATGTGTTGGCTTTGGGCTCTCAGATGGCGAAGGCTGTGAGAGGTTCTGGAGTTCAATTCAGAGGCTAATTCCGTCATTGCGAGTATCCGGTGTGCGTATCCACATCTCCTTGTTTCGTCTTGATCTGACATGCCTTGAAGTACCACCAGCGCTTGTTTGTCATTGACACGCAGGTGAAGCACCTCGACGTCATGTCACTCCGCAAACTAGGGCAATGGCTCAGCCGCAAGTGGTACCGGTGCCATGATCGACTGTCCACTGCTCAGCGGGAAGTCCAAGACTCTGGATTCTCTTCGGACGAGCTGCGAGCAGAATGGCGTCTTCAAATTGAAGCACAGACCAAGCCAGCTCCAAGTATGTGTCATTTCTTACTTCAGACATACTCTTAACCCTTGTTTGGCAGAACAGTCACGGAACCGAGGAGCGAAGACCATTGAAGCAATTCTGGCCTTGCAGAAGAGCCAGGCCTCTTATGACGAGACCATACGGGGACTTGAGGAGCGACTACTGGGTGATCTAGGTCAGCTTGACCCTCAGCAGCTCGATTCCGACTTGGCAGAGGCCCGTGCAAAACGCTCGCGCATTGTTGCTGCTATCATGCACAAGCGCACTGCGTTGGGGGTCAATGAACGTTCACAGCTCTCTCGTCTCACCAAGAACAAGTTTCTGCAAGTACGAATGAACGCGCGGGCTCTCAAGCAACGCATCCGTGACCGGCTCCGCCAGCGGAAATTTGAGCTTGACCGATTTGAGCGTTCATACCGTAATACAACGAACAGTAAGATTCAGTCTTGTTTTCTTTATTCAATACTTATCTTTGTTCTCAGAGCACAAGCTCAGCAACCACGTTGAATCTGCAGTCAAGCGCCGTGAACCTGGAATACTGAAGCTTGCCAAGGCCTACAATGCCCTGTGCAAGCAGATGTCAACCATGGTTCAGCAGCGCAAGGCTCCTCGGTTTGCAGTTGCACCAGATCCTATCCAGAGTAATGGGCTGTTCAAGCTTGATGTGGATGATGACATCTGGCAGGACGTAGGACTTGAGGATGATGACTTTGGGGCTAGTGCATCTGACCCAGATGAGTCCGCTGTTCCCCGCTGGCTGGGTGATGAGGCGGTGCGATCTGCAATCAAGGCACAGTTGATGCTGGACCGCTGCTTGGAGGAGAAGGACCGCTTGTCTGTGGAGCGGTATACCATGCAGAAGTGGATGCAGGAAGAGTGGAGGTCTCTGGAGGCTGCAATTGCAAGTGCTGGTAAGTGTGATCTTTGGTCAATGCTATGGGATAGAATCTGAGTGTGCATAGCTGAAGACCCAAATTTGTTGTTCCAACTCAACATTCGCCGCTCGGAGTTGTGCCGTCTGTGTGCAACATGGCAACATCATGTGCGTGCAATCCCCAGTGCTCATCCCATTTCTGCATCATGGGGCCCATCAGAGTATGAGCTGAATGAGGCTGCACTCTATGAGATCTCTGAGTTGACAGAAATGGGTGAACATTCACTGCAGCCAGAGTCACAGAACACCCTCACAGATGAGGAGGATGACTGTGACTTTGATTATGGGGCTTGTGACTCTGACCTTGAAGCTGATGGTGATCTCTTGGATGCTGCAGAGGCAACAGCCTTGAGGGATGCATACCATACATCTGAAGTTGACTTGGAATTTGACTTCAATGCCTTAGCTGATCTAGATAACCAGACCTTACTCTTATCTACTATTGGTCCTTCACCTCCCAAGAAGAGACATAGATCATATATGGACTAATAATATATGGACTTGTTCTGTAACTTCCAACTACCAATAGCAATGCCAGAATTCCAATACATACATATCAAAGTTGAGCTTTAATTCTGTGGGAAGTCCAGAAATATGTGGGATACCCTATGTGTGCATGGGAGGCCCACGGGACATCCCTATCAACTCTGGGATATCCCATGTCATGGGCTTGGGAATACCATGTTGGACTGTCCAGCTCATCTGGGATCAATGGGACCATACACATCAGGGGTGGGATTGCCCAAAGGACCACCCATGGGACAACCATACAAGGACTGTGGGAGTACCATTGAGTCTGGATGGGCAGACCAGATGTTCATACGGGCCTACCAATCAGTAAGGCGGGAGGACCAAATAACAAAAGTGGGACTACCATATGCAAAATAGGGTGGTCCACATGATCACTTTGCATGGGAACTCCCTGTTATGAGTAGAACTTGTTAGGTCCAGACCTCCAATGTATATATGGTAGCACACATTCAAAAACTTCAAAAAAGTATGCTTGGCATTATAGTACACTCAGTCTGTTCAGCCTGGTTAATTCTAAATGCCTTATACTGTTTGACAAGCCTACATACATCATTACAAAGGCTAAGTGAGCTCCTAATAAGCATCCAAGACACTAGGTGCAAGACAAGGCCCTGCTCAGACTTTAAGCATAATCCCTTCACACCCTTTCATCTTCTCAGCGCTGTAAGGCTACTTAGGCTAGTCCATCAGTTAGCTGTTCTGCTCTGTGACACTCTCACATAATGCTTGGTTGCTTGTATACAATTAATAGACCATGCCATCCTAAGCTAAGATGTACTCTAGGGCTTACAGATTATGCACCATTGCTTTCCCAGATGGGCATTGCTAGGTTCTGGTAGCTGTGGTAGGGTACATTCTGTGGTACTAAAGCTGACCATGTCTATTGATGATGTTGTGTAGTATGTACTTTGACTGACAAGCCTACAGGGTAGCAGTTGCCAGTGAATAGATGTATGGGCATACAATAAAGTGTATACACCACATGTTGATTGACTTACAGTCCATTGATTAATTGACAATGCAGCATGCACCAAACACTGAATTTTCCTATGTGGGATGTCCCATTGAGCTACTGACCCCCTGGCACCATGTGACCTGTGACTGGGACATGGGACATGCTGCACGTCCCACAGGGAGCACAAGGGGAATGGTCTATGTAGGAGCATGACACATCAGGAAAAATGTTTCTTACTTCAGAGGTCTTAAATAAGAACCATGCGATCTTAAGCGACCTCTGGTAACTTGTGCACCTTAAACGAGTGCAGTATGCACCTGAAGACCGCTGAAGGGAAATGAAGTACCTTTGAGATTTGTGCCTTGTTTTCAAGACTCGAGCCATGCAGCTTCAGTGCTCTACATTAAGACTCCTGGAGTACGTGTAAGCTAGCTAATGACTACCAAAGTGTTTGATACGCGTAGTGAGAGGTCCAATTGTTCAATAAGAACTTTGAAGCGCAATCCAGTACAGTATGAGTCGTCCATTCCTCTGGTAGATGCTCAGGAGAATCTCCCACTGATCCGGGGAACTTGGGAATCAGTTGGCAAGACTGCCGTATCATGCTGAGAGGTATTATCTCTCCTTGGGGATGTCCGTTGGCCCTGAGAGCGGGTTTGTTGACCGCGTACATCATATGGACTGGGTCGGCTGTACGTGCGAGCTTGGAGTACCATTCCACATACGCTAGTGGCCCTTGATCTGGCCAGGACGCAGGCGCAGGCAAGGCAACGCTGGTCCGCGGGTCATGTATGCGCTGCGGGAGTCTGAAGATAACCTTGACTCGTCCTATTCTTGTTCCTGAGCGACATGCGTCTTTGAGTAAACGAATATTCATTTGAACGCGAGTCGGTCACATACCTTGGAGGCCGGTCGTCTCTGCATCACTCTCCTGCAGGATGACTGCTGTATCAAAACGGGCAGGCTGTTTGGCGCATGCTGGACGCGCCTTCACCACGTCGGTCTCGTTCTTGTCGTCAGTCAATGGCTGGGGAGCGAACTTGAATCCGTGGAAAACGTCGACGCGATTGAACGGCAAGTTGGACGACGCGGTCTGAAGCTCAGTCGGAGTGAGGCGTCGACCGAGTTTGAGGGTATAGATATGCTGGAGGAGTGCGTGTGTAAAACCGGGTGCGTTGTGACGTTCTTCGACGAGCTTGATGGACTGGAGCGGTACGCTTGGATTCTTTGGCAGCTTGATCTGGGTGTGGCGCTTGGTCGAAAGGTCCGGGTCTTCAGACGCAAAGGCAGCGTCCTCGTCCGGATCCTCGTCGATTTGTAGCTTCCTGCGAATGGTAGAGCTGAGCATGATCATCTTCTCCTGGCGTGCTAGCCATCGGACCATCTGAGGACGCGCGTCGCGATGGTTCGACGCCCTCCAGCCGTTCTTGGCATAGTCAATATGAAGACGTTCGAAGGCTTCCGTGTTGTAGTTGTCTGTTGCGCCAAGCAACCGGATTGATTCGACGTAGTGGAGGAGGGAGTGGAACTTCGGGATCTTCATGTGTTCGCGCACGCCAAGATTGACCAGAGCTTGTTTGTTCTTGTGATAGATTTTGAGGGCGTCTTCCATGTACTGGAGGGTGGAGTCATCGTGGGTGGTGTATTGCGCGAGATAGATGAAGTCGAGTAGAGATCTGAACGCAAGCATGACGTTCTGAGGAATCTTGCCGACCAAGCATCCCAGCAGGATGCGTGCGATCTGCTTGGACTCCATACCGGATACTTGGGATAGAGAAGTGATCCCGTTAGCAAAGTGACGAGTCCCGAACGCGGGGGGAAGGGTGCGAATTCGGCGGTCCAGTTCATTCTCGTCGATGAGGTCGCTGCACCACTCGACGATGTGCTTCAACACGCCTTGGTAGAGCTGGTGGAGAATGTCGGGCGTGATGCACGAGTGGATGTCGGTGAAGGGGAGATCGCTCCAGAAAGGGCGTATGACGTATCCGGAGACGTCGAGACTGGTACACGCCCTCGCGTACGTTGCTGAGTTGGTGTTTCCGCCGCTTTTCTTCCTTGCAAGGCGTAGAACGTCCAGAGTCCAAAGCGCGCTCCTTGGCACTCCTGGGGAAGCAGCGTCGAGATCAGCCTCGGGTAGTCGGCACTTGGGGCACGTTCCGTACTTCGTGCAGGTAACAAGGCACTGCTCGGGAAAGTCTGCGACGTACGTGGCGAGGATGGGGTGGACTCTGCGGACGGCGCCGTCGCCTCCGGTCACGTCGATCCCGTTCTTGCCGGCCTCGATCAAAGGTTCGAGGATGACGCGAACGGACGAGTGGAATAGTTGCTGCATGAGGGCGCGCTGCTTGCGCTGCGTGATTCCATCAGAACTGACCTTGTCGACAGACAGGTAACCAATAAGGATGCAGGCGTGCTCGGAAGGTTTGCGGCGAAGGGCGCGAGGGATGTTGCCTAGAGTCATGTACACTGGATACGCGGCCTTGCTCCCGGAGAACCGCGTCAACTGAGTCTTGTCTGTTGCAATTATCACCGGGGCCACTGCTGCACCCACTGGTAAGAGACTCTGAGTGGAACGTCAAGGCCGGATACACTGGAAAAATATTATCAAACTCACCTGAATGGCATGCCACCACCGCCCTGTCCACATCTCATGGTAGATGCGGCTGGTGCGAGACGCGTCAGTGAATATGCGGCGCGGTCGGTAGACTATACGGTCAGCGTGCTCGGGGTTACCGAGGAGGGTTCGTATGGCCTCGATGATGTCGCGGTACTGGACAAGATGCTTCTCGTTTGGCCGGTCCTTGAACGTTAGCCAACGCTCTTTCCACTCCGCGCGTTCTGGAAGAGAGTCGACTCGTTGAAGAAGTGTGTATGAATTGTGATAGGAAAGGCCGAGTCTGTCCCGGAACTGCGGTGGCTTGAATCAAGGAGCCGAAGGGAAGAGAAAGAAGTATACGCACACCGGGAATCTCAAGAACTTTGTCAATGGAAGTTTGCGTGAGGCCCTCTTGGATGGCCCACGACGCAAATTTCCAATCCATCTCTGAGTCGAAAGGATCCCAGGGATTGTCATCACCGGCATGTTCCAAGTCTCTATCTGCACAGATGCGTTACAAGAATCCATTGATCTACGGCGTCGTACTCACCTTCATCCTCTGCAGTTTCTGTACGCCTCTTTTTGGCACTTCCGCCCCTGCTCCACACGTCACCCGCGTCTTCAACCATGCGGAGCACTCTCGCCGCTTCTTCATCCACCTCCTCAACTCGTGTGTCTTCATCGTCATCCAGCGCAATTGCAGTCCTTCTCAGTGGCCTAGACGAAGGACCGGCCTCCGCGTTGTTTTCACCTGCAGCCGCTGGTTGAGGGGCTGAGATACCGATGAAGTCGAAGACAGAGCCCAGGTCATCGTCTTCCTGGTCAAGAACATTGCGCCCCGGGCTCGTGGAACGTCGGCTTGCCAAGACGCTAGAGGAAGCACCGCTGCCAGTACTGCAAGTTGGAATAGTGAGGAAGCTTACGGACCAATTGCAGACCTTAACGTACCTATCGAAACCAGGTTCACTGTACCCGGATATTTCGACGTCGTCTCCATCCTCTTCAGAGTCCGAATCCGAATCGTCGAAATCAAAGACCTGTTTCAACTTTCCCTTCTTGTACCAGGCGCATTTTCGGCTTGTTGACTGGTGCGAGGTAAGGCCTTGTACGGTTTTGAATGTGTGGTTGCAGGCGGCGCAAGTGGTCCCGAGGATGTCTTCTAAAGACCTCTTTACCATCTCTATAAAAGCTATGAGTATTGATAACCAGTAGCGGCACGCAAAACTCACTGTTGTCGCGGAAGCGGAAGGTTGTATACTGCGCGCGACGCCCATCGTGTTCGACTCTGTTGGACTCCTCGGCTCTCCTGTTCTTGTCAGGTGATCGCAGGCAAGTTCACTCCTCCATCTTCCTCGGGACGGTACTCTCCTCTTGATTTCACCTCTACCTCCTCCACCACCGGACATTGTATCATATCCATCACCCCTAATGCTTTATATTATCAGTGCAAGATTTTTACACACAATTATGAGTATTCTGTAACTAGCAGTGGCACGCAGGACTCGCCGAAAGTCAAGGAGGGCTCTATGACGCCCTTCGTTCGATGATGTCCGTCTTTTCCGCCCTTACGTACCTAATGTCAGGTGATTGCGGGCTTCCATTCATCGCTATTTCCGCGCTCGGACCGCACGCACTTCTCTCTCTCTCCTCCACCACCGACCGCTTTCGCGTGAAGTTCGTGAAGACTTTTCATTGTTCAAAGTGAGTACTGCCTCTTGTCCCTTTCCTTTTGGGGCATGACACCGCTCGGTGGCGTTTGATTACCAATCGTGGGGCATACCCCGTGCCGCCGCGGCGCTCCACGTGTGGGTGGTTGCCCAACGATTTAAACAAAGGGGGCAGTGGCCGGCCGACGTATCGCCTCTCCCAAGCAATTCCCAGGCTGCATTAAGTATATAGCGCGTGTCAGGACCCTGGTCGTTGCTCGAGTCACTCTGCAGAAGCTGTCCCGCGATCGCTCCGTCCCTTCGCCCGCCATGTCTTACGTTCACGTCCCCATCGATCTTTCCTCCAAGGATCCTGACTCTTGCACTTACCTGCATCGCCAGCTCGCTCGGGAAGATACTTCCTCAACCCTCGACGGTGCAATTGTTGTCACCGACCATCGCGACCCTTCGCCCGGTAAGTCCCCATAGATCCCGCCCATCGCCCACATACCACTGACGATGTCTACACAGTTTACTTTTCACACCCCCCGAGCTCTGAGTCCGGCGGCACGCACAGTGCGAACGTTTCGAGCCCTGCTTCCAGCGAGCTCGAACTCCCGGACATAGCTGTTGAGATCAATCCGCTGCACCATATCTTTGGGCACCTCCTCGACGATCCTCGCTGGCCCTACATTCCCGCGGTCGACAAGGTAAGCGTGCAAGACTACGGGTATTGCCAGTCACTAAGCATCGCATAGACCGTCGAAGCTACTCCAGAGGATTGGATAACCCTCTGTCACTGCATCCGACGCCATCCGGATACTTTCAGGCTTTGGAGGTGAGTGTGGCACGTCAGCCACGCCACAGATGCTGATTCACATGAAATAATAGTTTCACGTACGATCTTCAAAAGCAGACTATCCACATGTCTTCCCCCTCTCCAGCTCACAATCTCCTTGCGAGCAGTTTAAGCCTATTTCTCTACATGGCAGTAAGGGCAGGGATCATCACGTTGGGCACATGGACAGTCGCGGTCATCTTGAACCCTTCCCAGGACTTGAAGGGACCGATACCCGACCCTACAGACACATTCTGGGGAAGGTCGGCGGGACGCGCCACGAGTTCAGCCGCGGCAAAAAAAGAGAAGAACCTGGCGGCCAGGTCGATGACCCCTGAGCAGAGGGCATTGGCGGCTGCAGAGGCCGCTAGGCTGAAAGCTGACGATGCTGTAGCCAAGGCGGAGGCCAGGCAGCGGAAAGCCGACAAGATGGCTGAGGAGAAGGCAGAGAAGGAGGAGAAGGCGAAGGCGGAGAAGGCTAAGGCCAAGCGGCCGAAAGGCAAGGCAGAGAAGGCTAAGGCCAAGCGGCCGAAAGGCAAGGCGGAGAAGGCTAAGGCCAGGGAGGATGAAAAGGCTCAGGAGTGGTTGGATTCGCGCTCGAAGAAGAACAAGAGGAAGGATCGGCAGGCGAAGGCACGCAAGAGAAAGCATTCGGAGGATCCCCTCTCTGACGTTGATGGCCCCTCCGACGTTGATGGCCCCTCCGACGTTGATGGCCCCTCCGTCGTTGATGGCCCCTCCGCTGTTGATGATCACGATCCTCACGCCGATGCCGACCCTCTCGCCGACGTTGACCCTCACGCTGACGCCGACCCTCGCACTGAAAGCTCTGGCGCTTCTGGAGCCAAGTCGTCCGCTCCTGTCCAAGTCCCGTCGTTCCCTCTCAGTCACATCCCAGACACCATCATCTCACTGTTGTTCCCTTTAAACTATGCGACCATAAGCTGTTGTGACAATTGAAATTGCCAAGGCCGAGAAGCCGGACCACCTTTCTTTCCGGGTAAGTATACACTCTTACCCGTCTGAAATGTCGGGAACACTAATGGCCCTTCTAGTTGGTTGAATACATGCGCGCCCCCGTCGACAACCCCTGGGGGATACGTAACCTGCTCGTCTTTGTGAATGTAGAAGAACAGAAGAAGTTCTCTGCTCCAAAATATTCCGACTACGTGAAGAAGTGCGCAAAGGAGAGTGTAGCCGCGAAAACGGAGAAGGAATGGGCGCAAGGTTGGATCGAGACCTGCAAGAAGGTGTGCCTCCAGGAGATGCAATTCGATGAGGGCGATGATCCGGGCCCAACACGCGACGAGCAGCCTTGGCTCACCCCTCAGTACCTCATTGACGGGCACATCTTCATGCACCGTCAGTGCGCATGGCTTACGTGCTCCGATCTCTCTGTGCCTGAGCACGTTGAGGAGCTGGAGCAATTGAGTTGCAGTAACACGGCTCGGACTCCGGCCACCTGGGAGGAGAAAGGGCTCGGGATCGTAGGTGCTCTTCGTTCTATGCTCCACACTTTACTGATTCTTGACGTGTCAGGCAATCCGAGACTCATACAACTCAGAGAAGACTGCCTCACGGCGCAACCTCTTTGAGATACGTTGGAGTGCTGCATTGCAGAGCCTCTCGCAGCGTGTCTTTAATGTTTGCTCCACGGCCCTTACTAGCGCAATCAAAGATGGTCCGTCTGCGTTCATGGCAACGTATGACATCCGCCCAGAAGAGTTCGATGACGTGCTGGAACGATCCAAGCAAGGACCTGACGTGATGGGAGAAAAGGTCTCGCTGAACAAAGTGCTTGAACAACTGCGTCGAACTGTCCGGATGGGATCTGTTCCGACAGCCACAGCACGCCTCAAGAACTTCGCCTATGAGCTCGCCTTCCTCCATGCGCTGGACCCACCGTTGGAGAATGCCCAGTATGCGCCCGATGCCCCGGTGCAGCAGCCTCCCGAGACGGGGAACCACAAGAGTGTAATACGTGCGGCGGTGGTGAGCGAGCATGCAGCCAAGAAACAGCGGATTGACTAGGGCTGTTTCTTGCAACTGTTCGCTTGCGCGTTTGCGTCGCTCACTGTGTACTCTCCACATCGCTTTCGTATCGCTTTTCGTATGTACATAGTGGATATCAGCCTTTCTTGTTGCGCTCACTGTATACATCTCGCTCTGACTACGCTATCTTGCGCTCTTGTACCCTTCTTGCGCTCTCGTACCCTCGCTGTCGCCGTATCTTGCAGTTGTCGTATCTCGCAGTCGTTCGTAGTGCCTTCGCTCGTGTAGGGTATTGTCTCGGTATCGTCATTTGTACATTCTATCCGCCACGCAGGCTATATACAATCTTTGATGAAGCTATTACGCGTTCTAAGCATATGCAGACCTTGGAGAAGGCAAAACGCCGTGCGCTTTCCACCCTCCCTACCCTCCTAGAGCAAGTGCCGTGCCGGACCGCAGCGCGGCCCGCCGGGAGGGGGTGGCGTGGTTTTTTCCCCGATGCGCAACGCGTTGCGCATCGGGGAAAAAACCACGCCACCCCCTCCCGGCGGGCCGCGCTGCGGTCCGATCGTCCCGCGCGGCTCAGGCCTTTCGCCTTCCTGCGATCAACTGGGGCGTTCAAATCCCAACTTCCACACTCTTCAATCTTTACTCAACCAGGAAGGTAGGCCTGCCTACCATGGCACTGATAATGACATATCTTACTAGCACCATGAACAGACAGGAATGCAGTTGAATATTGCCGAGATTAGGGAACTAACCGGGATCCTGGCGTCCGTTCCGACGTCGACTTTGAGTCCCAATATGCAGTCACTATTAATGCGACTGCAACGTGGTAGAGTTTATTGCTTTCAATGCTCCGAATAGACTTGAACCTCTATATATCTTTGTAGAACTCACAGAAACAGAGACCGTCACACCTTCTGGACCACTGTCTTCGACATCGCAAGGTGAGTGTCTTCTGCTGAAGCATCAGTCTCAAACGTTCTGATATCAGTTTCCCGCTCTTCATAGTTCCTGGCATCTCACAAGTCCAGCCGAGCGGAAAGAGCACTCAGAAGCGTTCCGAGGCTCGGCGGAAGCTGGCTCAGACGCAATATGACCCTGCGTCAAGACCTGCTCGAGTGAAGCAGGCTGCTCAGCCTGCACCAGCTCGTTACCCCCTTCCGGCGCCCTGTCCCCGAAATGGAACACAGTACGTTGCACCTCAGAATCAGCCGGCTGCTGCTTGGGAATTGGCATCACAGCCACATGAGGCTAGGAGCACCACGATCAACATTTTCTTGCAAACGCTCACAGCGTACGACTTGCAGCATGATATCAGCCGATGTGGGGGTGTTCTGCTATCAGCGCATCAAGCATCATACGGCGGAGGGAGCGAGACCCTGTCTGAGATTGCCCAGAGGTGCATCCGTACGGCAAACTCGACTGCAGTCTTCCACCTCCACTTTATCGTTGCGCTCATGACACTCAGCTTCAAGTGTGCAAGGTGAGGGTGTACTCACGGTTCACTGTACCTATTTATTGACATATCCTGATATCTAGTCTGTCTAACTGGAAAGAATCCGTCAATCTCGCTGCCCTACACAGAGAACACCTGAGCCAAGATGTCAACTCACCATCTGTGCGAACTCTGCAGTACTGGTACGCCGGTGGTAGCAAGCTCATATCGCTTGCCGCAGGAGGTGGGATTCTAGTAGCGGCGACCGTGACGAGAGACTGATGATGTGCTGACGACTTCAAGGATCATTCTACATGCTGCTCTGGCTGGCCTACACTGATCTACGAACGCCATTCATTGAGGCAGACGGCAATATAGCGTACGATCTCGCAAATATACTTCGTAACCCGAATAGCGGTGAGTGTACAGACTTTTGTTGTTCCATATAGTACTGAACATTGCCAATCACAGAGAGCTCTGCAGGACGACTTGTCCAGAGCACCATCATACCAACGCTGGCGTTTCTCAGCCAACAATGCCCCGTCAAACTCGGTGAATTTTTCTCGACGAATTTGCTCTCAGAGCTGGCGATCTCTGCAGAGACCCTGTGCAGCGATCTGAGCACATCTGATCGTCTCTTCGACGCTCTGCCCTCAAAGTATGTT